ATCTCAAAAAACACAAAAAGTCCCAGCATCTCAGGAGGCTGAGACAGGAAGTTCAAAGCCAGCCTCAGCAATTTAGCAAGGCCCTGTCTCAAAATAAAAAGGGCTGACAGTATAGTTCAGTGGTTAAGTGCCCCTGGATTCAATCCCCAGTACCAAAAATAAATAAAAAGTGATTATTTTTGTCAAAGACATTATTTCCTAGCCAAGTCTAGCCGTTATTTCCCAGCAGCTTGGGAGACTGAAGCAGGAGGACCACCAGTTCAAAGCCATCGTAAGCAATTTAGTAAGGCCCTAAGCAACTTAGCAAGACACTGTCTCAAAATAAAATATAAAAAAGGCTTAGTGGGTTCAATCCAGGTACCAAAAAAAAAAAAATTATTTCTCAGCTATTCTTGTTACTAACTAGTTTGTTTATGTGAAGTACCTGAGACATTACACAATGAACAGGCTAGAGGGATAGCTGTCCAGAGGGCCTGCTATCAAATTCATGGTTATGAAAGAAAACATACTCCAACTGATTAAAGATAAGGGTCAGGTGAAATTAAACATGGAGCCAGGCATGCTCAGCTTCAGATCACAAACCCAGCTCAAGGTGAAGAGGCCCTCATGATAGAGGGCTTTCTTATGCAGTACACAGTAGTGGCATTGAGGCCCAGCAGGCACACAGGACTTCTGGATCCCAGCTTGCACCCCTCCATGTGCTCATGTTTCCCTCCATCCCAGTAGAGACCATGGTAAGATATACTTCTGACTGCCCCTCTCCTTTTCCAACAAAGCCTCAAGTATGTGTTGGTGGGGGGAGGGATGTCACCCAGTGTGACACCTACAGCAGGGGTAAGCCCAGCCCCTGGGATATGGAGGATTTCTAAAAACTCACCAGGGCCCTTCCCCCTGCCATGAGTTTTCAAAGAATGCTTCCTCTAGAAAGGTGGTTATAGACCCAATTTTACAAAAGAACAACCTAAGTCTCAGAAAAAGAGGTAGTTGTCTCACAGTGGTCAAGCCCAGGCCAAACCCTGACTTCATGCTCTAACTCCATGGGACTTTCCACCACAGCACCTTTATAACAGAGGTTCTGCCTATCCCCAATGATGTATACATCATGAGTACATGTATGCACAAATACAAACACACGAGTACAATGAGCAGGCTGGCCTGGGTGCAGGTGAGTGAGATTCTCTGCAAGGGGTTTGGAATGCCTTCACAAACTTCAATGGATATGAGGAATGCAGGGGCACCAGCTTCTGCATCTCTGGGTTGGACAGAGAACGGTAAAAAGATGTCTTCCACAGCCTGCAATTGCAATTTGTGTCTTCCTTGGGTTACTTCCTGGGTTACACCCAGCATCCCACCCAACCTGGAGAAAAGTATGAGAGCCCTGAAAAGTTGGGGTTTCCAAGGTTCTTCAGGTAGACTATGTAGTCCTTCCCAAGTGACACCAAGGTATGGTGTGTAGAGAAAATCCTGGGAACTGGGAGGCTAAAAAAACAAGTCCTGCTATACCAGGAACTACCACAGCCTTTCATGATAGAAAGCCTACTAGGTGTCTCACAGGGCAGTAGGTGTACTCAAGTGAGCTGTACCACTGGTCCTCTCTATGACTTGCACCCTGTTCTGCACTCCAGAAGCTGATCCCCATTATCTGCACCAGCAAGGCTCCCCTGTCCACTGGCTTTCAGGGCCAGATATCCAAGCAAGCTGACAGATGTCTGAGCAGTGCAAGGAGCAGGAGGCCAGGCTAATTATCCCCAGCATCCTCCTGCAGGTTTGCAGCAGCTGCCTTCCTTCTCTAAAGGCTGCAGCTACTTGGGGGGCAGCCCCTCCTCCAGTTACAGCCCCACTGGTCCTGATAACTGTTCTGTCCCTGCCCCCTTGGAGCCCAGGGCTAGTGAGAGCTACACTTCACTGTCCATAATTGGCTTCCCTTATACCTGAAGCTCTATATGTAGTTCCCTGGTTAAACTCTCTTCTGGTTACATCTTTTCTGGTACATGCCATCAGCATCCTGCCAGGAGATGGACAGATCCAGCACCTAAAATTTTTCATTAAATCCTGCCAGGTGCCAACCTGGATGTAACCCAGGACTCAGGGTGGCTCAAACCACATGCCAGAATCTCTACCCTTCTCACCAGGTCATAGCAGGGAAGGAGAAACTAGAACCCAGGCCTTCTGTCACTCAGAACAGGGTTCCTGTCATTCAACTCCCTATTTGTCCCACTTAGGAACTCCTAAAGTGATTTGTTTTCCTGACTAGTCACTCAGTGATACAGTATCTCAATTCTGTCCTTGGATGTAGTAATCTGAAACCAAAATTTACATTAGAGACCAGCCCCAGAGCTACAGACTCCCACTGTAATTGTCTAAACAGCTCAAGATAAAGAAACTTTCCTTATCTGCTTCATATTCTACACTATGGCCAGAAGATGGCAGTATATTACCATGCCCACTTTAATACTTCACTTGGGACCCAGATACTAGCTGGGACTGGACTGGGCAATGAGCACATTCCTGCACCAGAAAATTCTTCATGAGGCTTAGCCCACAGCTCACCTGTTTAAGGTACACACATCAGTAAGCTAATCCAAGCACTTAAGGTAGAGAATCCCAAAGGAAAAAATTCCCTTTCAAACATCATGACAATATTCTTGTCTTCTATTTTTGGTAAATTTGGATTTGGATAAACTATCATCCTTTATTAGGACAGAACACTTTTAAAGAGACCCATGAACCATTGCCAATCAGCTGATCTCAGTGATGTAGGAGATGTGTTTTTTCTTCAATGTGTTATACTTTAAGAGCCTGGAAGATGAAATAAAAACATCAGTAGGTGTTGGGGTCCAGCAGAGAAACCTGGGCAACCAGGCTCACCCTGTGGCCCCCAACACAGCCAAAACCACCTGCTGGCATTGGCTAGTAGGAGTCAGGGTGCTTCTGTCCATTCCCAAGACTCCAAGTTCTTTCAAAAGATTACAAAATGTATCCGCACAAATTCAGCTGTTACATTGACTAGCAAATGATTCTTTCCATATCAAAAAATAAACACAGGGGCTGGGGCTCAGCAGTAGGGCACTTGCCTGGCATGGGTGAGGCACTGGGTTCAATTCTCAACACCGCATATAAATAAATAAAATAAAGGTCTGTCAACAATTAAAATAATATTTTTTTAAAAAATAATAAAGTAAATAAATAAATACAAACCTCCTAGATCTTATAACCATTTGGACAATGACTCCAATATTTAAATTAGTGAAAGCTATTTTAATAAAGCAATTTGCTCCATAAATTCCCTAAGGAGTCCCAGGTAATACTGAGAAACAAAGGTGCTTTGTATGCTAACAGACTTATAGAAAACAGTAATGAGAGCATACCTTTGAAATCTTGGTAAGAAAAAGACTGATTAAACTGAATTACAAACATTCTACATTGAAATTGTGAACTGGACCCAAATGAGCAAAGCTTGTCAGTGATGGCATCTCCATTGTGAGCCATGGTGTTTAAGTGAAGACTTGAAGGGATTCCTATCTTATTGTGGTAGGAATTTTTTTTTCTTTATATTTCTTCTATTACAACAAAGTTCCAGGCCAGGGATGTACCTCAGTGATAGAGTGCTTGCCTAGTACCCATGAGGTCCTGGATTCCATTCCCAGCACCACAAAACAAATATTTTGTGAAGGTGAGTCACAAAATTGAGTAACTCAAAACAAGTTCACTACTCACCCCTCCTATGTACATGTGCCCAGGTATGCAAGTACTTGGCCTTCTTTTCCTGGGAGCCCTCACCTTCAGTTAAAGGCCTCTAAAACTTGCAGAGGCCTGAGTATGGAATAGAGGCTTGGCTTTGTAGTCTTTGTGGTATTAACCAAGACTGCCTCCCTTTATGTGCCTGCTTAAAGTCCACCCCAAACTGCATTCTCCATCTGCCCTGCTTCTAGAGACTGTCAGCTCCATAGTTTGCCGAAGCAACTACTGGGGGAGCATCAGAACCATTCTGAGTGACTATAAAAACCTGGCTATGGCACCCATTTGAAGAACTAAAGCTCATATGCTCCCAAATGACGATACCTGACCACTAACCTATCCAACTGTGGTCTGACCCACATCTAGCAGAAACAGAGAAGGAGGGACATTAGAGCTAACAGAATGGCAGCTATGACTACCACTGGCATGGACAAGATCAATGTGAGTCCTGCTGCATTAAAGAATTTTACAGATGGTTTTGGGTACCAAAGGGAGGCAGGGAAAGGACTCCTAGAATTATAGCAGCCTGTCCCTGCAAACCCTCAAAGAAGACCTCAAGGGGAGGCTGGGGGTCACAGGGTTACAAGGAGTAGGCAGAAAACCAAAGGAGTGTACTTTTTGAGGACCTTAAGAGATGAAGGGCCCCCATTTCACCATTGTTCAGTGAGGGACTGGTCTCCTGAGGGAAGTCTCTGTCACAAAACCATCAACCCCAGCCTACTAACCCAGCTAGCAATGTAAGACCCCACTAGGACTGTCTCAAAGATCACCTCCAGCTATGTATCAAGTAAAACCACCCAAGCTGGCCTTCATGCAGGTAGGCAGTTGGGTTGATCCCTTGCTCTAAGGGTGCCTTGACTTGGAAACCAAAGGTCTAGAAATGGAGCCATAGAAAAGGGCCCTCAAGACCTATGCTGCCTAGAGTCACCTGTAATAATGCCACCCTTTCCCAATTCCTTTCAAAATAAATGAAACATGAGTACAGAAGTTATAAAACTTAAGTTGAAGAGATGGTGGACCCCTCCAACTTGGGTCACAGGCCTTCCCCAACTGGTCCTGGATGAAGTTCTCCCTTTCCAAAAGCTTTGGTCCCAGGAGCCAAGGACAGCCAGACCTGCAACGGGCCTTTAGTAGGGGCCTTGAGACCCCTCCAAAGTACAAAGTTCACCCCCCAACACACTCACCCTGTGCTTGCCAAGCATAGCTACCACCCTCATATGATGGGGGGGGCTGGGTGAGCCCACACATCACAGTCTACTTACTCAGTGTGTTATCCTTTAATGAAAAGCTGAGTCAGTGGGCCACCCTTCTCCCCAAGACCCCCTCAGCAGATACCCCTCATTACTGGCTGCCTGGAAGATAGGATGGCCCTGAGGCAGCCAGCCTTGCTGAGGGGTCAGTTTGCAATGACCTAGGAAAGGCTTTATCTAAGAGACCTTGGATGTGGCAGCAGCAACAAGGACAGAGGAAACTAAACCAAGGTCAGGAATGATGGAGGACAGAAAGTCTCTGAATCCTGTTGGGATAAAGGCCAGTGCTCAGGAATAGTACAGTCTCCCCAGGGTCCTGGAGGCCCTTCCAAACACTCTGGAAACCCTAAATCCCATATCCAGGCAGGCTGATGTCACACAAGAAGTAGTACACAGGGCCACTGAGCTCAGAGAGCAAGCCAGGCACCACCTCATGAGCTTCAAGGTCCCACGCCTACAAGGTGAGTCTAGCAGGGCTAAGGCCAGAGCCACCAGGAGACTAGGAACCACCTTCCACTAAACCTGCTTGTCAGTCACTATAAACATCTAAGAAGGTGGTCTTCTCCTTAAGGTTCCAGGAGTGTCCAGGCAGAACTGAGGCAACAGCAGGCCAGGACACCCTGGTCCCTATAGATCCGTGACCTTGTTTTCCACAGCAGCTGCAATCTGCTGGAGACGATAGCCCAATTGCATCTTCTGAGCTGTGCCGTCCTCCTCCAGGGCAGTGATGATCTGAAACGCAGACACCAACACCATTAGGGGAGATCTTTGGCCCACACATTCACTGCAGACATCAACAGGCCTCCAAAGAAGAACAACTGGCAGTAAGAACCTGAGAAATCCAGCAAAATGCCTCACTTCCTGTATGACCTCAGAACCTCACTGGAGAGAGATAATAGAGTAAAGTCACCATGGAGTTTTAGGGATTAATGAAGTAGGGAATGATATATTTTACTCAGTTACCTAGCACTTATGGTAAAAAAAAAAAAAAACATATACCTCACCGAGTAAAATTGTTGAATGGAGACCAACCCCCAACTGGTTTCTCACCACAAGCCCCTCAGAAGCCCTGCTGCAGCCATCCCAGCTCACCTGCCCTCCAGCCAATAGCAAATCCTGAATCCCTGTGTGTCAGATGCCAAGCAGAGATCAGGGACCAGGGACCCAATTATGGCCAGAAAGATGTTGTATGAGAGACAAGTAATGAGCAACCATAAACAGGGGGCTGCCTCAAAGGTAACAAGGAAGCCAGGCACATGCCTGTAATCCCAGCAGCTCAGGAGGCTGAAGCAGGAGGATCACAAGTTCCAAGCTAGCCTCAGCAATTTAGTGAAGATGTAAACAAACTAGTGAGACCCTGTCTCAAAATAAAAGATAAAAAGAAAAATAAAGGGAACAGGAGAGCAGCAGAGTTGGGGGAGAGGAACGGTCTCCCACTCTGTCTCCATACAGAAGCACAACTATATCATACCCCCACCTGCCCAATGCCTTAGCCCCCATGCTAAGCAAGGCTGCAGAGCCTGGACTCCACATTTGTGGATCCACTCATTGTCAAATGACTGCTGTCCCACCAGGCTATGGGCCACAAGGAAGGTTCAACACTGAACAGCAACAGCCGTATCACTAGTGCCACCCAGACATGTGAGTGAATGAATCCATTAAGCAATGTAGGTTGACTGATGAACACTTAATGTAACAGGCCCAGCCCAGGGGCCCCCCAGAAAACCCTTACTGACTCTGTTGTACCCTAAGTCATCCTCATTCTGTGCCTGAACCCTTCTCTTTCATGGTTCATGCAGCCCAGTCAAGTCTGAACCCACAGAGGTGCCCATGCCCCAAATGCTGCCTACTTCAGAATCTGATAAGGGTTGAATAAAAGCATGGCCCAGGTAGAGATGGCAGTTATATGGTCCCAGAGCACATCCTACACACCATTTCCAGGCCCTGATAGATTCCCCAGCCCCACTCAACCACTATCACCATGCCTGGGAGCCCTGCTAAGGAACTGGGATGGGGAGTTGGGAAGAGCAGAGCCAACTTCTTAGAGCCAAGAAGAGCTATTCTTTTAACCAAGAAGCATGCCTACAGGACACTTTCCAAACCATTAAAGGATCCAGTCCCTACCCTATTCCGTGCTGAGGGAGCCCCCAAAGACTCCCACCCACTCTGAGTCACAGAGTCACACCTCTTCACATCTATCCCCTCAGCCTCCCAGAGGGTACCTTGAGGTCAGCTTCCCAGTCAGGGCCCAGGGCTGCCCACCTGGTCATAGTATTTGTTGATATACTTGTAGAGTTCATGCAGGGCCACTCGTGCCCCGAGGTCACCAGAGTAGTTCTAGAAGGAAGGCAGATAAGAAGTGAGAGAGATGAGGGGTCTGGCCAGCCATGCAAGCAGGCCCAGGACTCAAGGTGAGGGTGAGAAGAAAGAAGGAAGCCTAAGAGGTAGAGCAAGGGACAGGCCCTATACTGGGAAGTAGAACCCCACCACAGACTAGGGACTTCATGCTAGGCATGCCTAGCCTGAGGACAGGAGTCTTCTTGGTAGGAAGAGCCTCCATTCTGCAGTTTCCTCAAAGATCTACCTCTCTGTCAAGAATGTCACTTGGAACCCCCACCTTCCCAGGGGACATGTAACAGGCCCAGCCCAGGGGTCCTCCAGAAAACCCCCTTACTGATTCTTTTGTACCTTTAGTCATCCTCATTCTGTGCCTGAACCCTCCTCTCTCATGGTTCATGCAGCCCAGTCAGATCTGAACCCACAGAGATGCCCATGCCTCTTGGTTCTACAAGGCCAAGTAGAACCAAACTCACTTGTAGGCTGTCAACCCAGTGTAATTCTGCTCTGATCTCACTCAAGGATTTCCTAAAGTCTTTCCATAGAGACACTTGAGTGTCAACCTCCTAACTGGGACACTGGTGTTGATATCACCTAACTTGTGGGAGCACTAATGGGGATCAAATAAAATAAAGCCAATACCACAAAAGTACAGCTGCTGTTAGTACTGTGCTTGTGATCAACATCATCATTTCAGAAACACCTTTCTGAAACTGTTTGAGGAGTAGGTAGGGGCATGACTATACCATAAAGGCTAGCAGAACAGTGGGAAGATGTGGGCAGGCAAATGCTAGCAGGCCTAGAGTTGATCCCAAGCATTCCATAGACCCCAACAGGCATCCAAGCACCTGACTGAATTAGATTAGGTGGCAGCTTCAGAATAAGACCCCTGCTTACTCCGTGATGAGATGCTAGGAGTGCTGATATCTTGCTAATGCAATTGGATCATTCTACATTTATACTGGTGGTGTGTATCATGTCCCAACCAACTTACAGGGCTGTTAAGGTCCCAAGGGCTTCCCTGCCAAGGAGCAGTATGAGGAGGGCAGGATTGTCATGGTAGGAGGCTTGTACCCAACCCAAAAAGCAGAGGCAGGCCTTACCCGGGACAGCTCAGCCAGGACAGAGTTCATCTCTTGATCACTGGCTGGGACATTCTGTTTGATGTCTGCATAGTACCTGCCAAAAAGCCGGGTACAACAGCTGCTTGGTAAATAAGCCCACTCCTCCCAGTCCCCACCAGGACCCACCCCCAAGACCTCAGCTGTATGCATGCCCATCCACCAACACCCTCTCCAGACTCACTCCCTTCCCCAGTACCTTTCCACCATCCCTTTGTAACGGGGAATATCACGAGCATACAGAAGTTTGTTGATGGGGGAGTCCTAGCACCGCCAGCAGGAGGGTAGTGAAGAAAGAAAGAAGGATGACAGCCTCTGTTAGGGTGATTGAGTCCCTAAGGTTTCTCAGCAGTGCTTCAGTTTTAAAACTAAAAGTCCCACATCCTGGGAACCCCTCAGTCCCCAGCAAACCAGGATGATTTGTAACCCTAGCCCACTTTCTTCTGCAGGATCCTCCTCTACTCCCTCTCTGCTTCAACATTCATTCTCTGAGATCCTCAGCTAAGGATCCTCCCCTGTTATTCTGAGATTATGCCTCCATCTGGAGCCAGAATGCAGAGTAATTCCTCATGTAATTATGTTAAAAATAGCAAATTGTGACCCAAAATATCATGTAAATTGCCCCAGACCATCTCACTCCCCAGTGACTGAGCTAAAATTTGAAGCAGGTCTCTCAAGTCAAAGACTATAATTTTCACACACTCAGATACAGCCTATACCACCCAAACTGGGTTCAAGTCCCAGCAGCCATGACCTCTGGGCCACATACTTCTGCTCTCAGGACTTCTGGTTCATGCTAAAGCTGCCAGGAAGAGGAGAAAGATCTTTGGGTGGCACTGCCCTATTAGAACAGGTCCAGGTTCTACCTCAGCCTGAGTCAGGATGTATGCTATCTCCTCAACTCTCCACATTTGGCATTCCTGGCTTAGACTATTCCCCTAAGCTACCCAGGAACTATTTGCTGTTCTGTAGGAAAGAGGAGGCAGATAGAATACCTGGCCAAAAAAAAAAAAAACATCACCACACAGGATCCACCCCTAGAGGTGACCCATGAGTCATGGTATGGCTTTGTGATTTTCAGCTCATCATAGGCAGAATAATGAGAATATGTAGAACAAAAAATGGCTACAAAAGACAGCACTACAAAGTGAAACTTTCTATTTTGCTTCTTTACTAACTCTTACAGGTATGTCTCTTAAGAGATCAGAGACCAACCATAGCCCAGAGGTCTGAGCTAAGCAAAACTTCATTCATGGAACTCCAAAGCCATAAAGACCATGCCTAATGGGTGTCTGAGCAACATGTAAGGACCCCATATATGATGGGACTCAGGCTTTGACTACATACTCCCAACCTTGGTACTATCAGATACCACTTGTCTATGCTTCCCAGATGCCCTTGTCAGCACAACCCTCAAACCTAACTCTCTCCTGGACCTTCCTCCCCTCTAAACCACTAGCAGACATCTCCACCACCTTAAAGAACCAAATCCACCAGGCAGCCCAGAGTTGCACTCAGATTGGAGAATCCATGTCTCCACTGGAAATCACGTGGTAGCCCCACAAATACCAAAGGCTTACCTCTAAATCTGAACTCACCATAGCCAGAGGCACAGGGATCATGCGTATTTGTCCTTCTTCTATATCCCCCACATCCAATCTACAGTTTATCTCTGCCCTGCACCTTGTTGCTGGCTTGAATCGGGCTACTGCTTGTCCAAAGAACAGCATAGCTTCCTCTGGACCCCCACTGCTTAGCTGCCATGATGCTCTGCCAAATTCTCATAAGAACTAATCATACCACACCCCCATTCCTAGGTCTTCTGTGGCTCCCCATTGACCCCATGGGGAGACCTCACCAAGTGGCCCTGGACTACTCCCAAAGCCTGCCAGGTTGCAACTGCTATCTACATCTTAATCTTGTAATTTGGCACATAGTGCCCCCTACTCTTGCTCATCCCTGAAGATTAACCAATTGCCACCTTCCAGAAAGCTCTTGAAACAAAGCCTGGCTAGGGAATGTCTTAGGTCAGTGGCCTCCCCTAACCCTCTTCCTTGAAACTTTCAGGAGAACCTGAAAGCTGTGTACACATACAGCACTGCTCACCCCCAGCCCATGCCACCCATGCCCCCATCCCCTTCCTGTTGTATCCAGCCCAGCCTGCTCACCCGGCCCAGCTTGTGGTCAGCCAGAGTGCAGGCATCCATGAAAGTCTGTGCAATGACAAGGAGCACTGCATCCATGTTATCAGACGTCTGCACATCAAACACAAACTGTGGGTTTTTGATTATATTGATCCAGAACCTCAGAGGCAGGCTGTGAGTGGGGAAAACATGGCTGATGATCATGTTGCACGGGTGAAGAGGGGACCTCATACATTCTCTAAGCCCTGCCCCTGCCCACCTGTTGGTCTTCCAGATATGGATAGTGTCTTGGTCAGAGATGCCATGCTGCTGGGCCTGCTCATCCAGCAGGTCAAAGAAGTACTTCACAGCTAGAGGCACAGGGCGGCTGGTACTAAGAATTACCTGGAACAGGTCATCCACAAACTTCTGTAGGGTGCCCTATAGTAAAAGGGGAAAGCAGACAGGTGTGATCAGCAATGGGATTTTCAGCACCAGCCCAAATCCCATCAGTAGCCACTTTCCCTCACAGTCCAGACCCCACTGCTTGTCTTATCCCTGGTCCCAACCCTGACCAGTCCATCCAGCCCCACCTTCATGGATAACAGGCGAGTCAGGTAGATCTCAGGGATGGCCTTAGCTCGCTCACGCTCTCCGCCCCGAAGGCTGCCCCTCCGTGGCCTGGGTGGCTCTGGTTCCTCACTCGGTTTCACCAGGTGCCAGGGTCGGATGCCCCCCTCATCTACATCCTCCAGCATTGGAGTTCCTGTGCCAAGACCCCCATAGTTTGTCACCCCACATCAGGTGCCACCTCCTGGGCCTCCAGGGTCCTGCCAACCTTCCCAGGAGTGGAGATACCTGATTGAGGCTTCTTGGGTAGAAGGAAAATAGGCACAAGCCCACCCTGAGGTCCAAAGAACTGTCCCCCATTACCCAGGACTGGGCAAAGCAAGTGTAGAAGACTGGGAGGGTTAGGTACTCACGTTCTCCAGGGACATAATCCTGGTTTTCCCTGAGTACATGTTTGGTGAGGCAGGGAACAAGGGCCACAGTTGCTCCATCTGGGACCTGATGACCACAGCTGGTGACCCCTCTACCACTTCCACCCCATCATACCCCTCCTCCAACTCCCACCCTCCTACCTTATAATGCTGCAAAGTGTTCAGGCGCCTCCACATACCCTGAACCTCAGAAGTGACATCCTCATCAGAAAGGATGAGGTGTCCAGCCACCCCAGATCGCCATTCTATAAGAATAAAATAGGACTTGGTCCAGGGCTTCTTAGGATCCCCTTGTCATAATGGAACCCATCTTATCTTCCTAAAGGACAACATCCCTTTATCAGGGGCAACCCCTCCCCAAATTCTCTAAAAACCAGCAAGGGCCTAACCACAGGAGAGACTGTCTAATATCACCCACTCTGAGTGATAAGATGTCCCCGTAGGGCTGGTCCTAGGCCATCCCAGGCCCAGCACTATCATAGATCCCCAGGCCATGCCCCTCTCCACACTTACCAACATCTAGGGTACGAGGTGCTGGCCTTTGGGCAAGAGGTACTCCTTTATAAAGCTGGTCCAGCATCTTCTCCTTGGCTTGGGAGATGGTGTCACAGTCCAGGACCTTCACAGGCACACCCTGGGCCTCTCCTGCCCCAGTCCCCACAGCCAACAGTGCATTCAAGGTCTAAGCAGGACACATGAGAACCATCAGTATTGTGTGACATTTCAAATGACCAAGACCCAAGGCTAAAGGCAGCGACAAACATGAGAAAGCCACAGCCTCTGATCCCCAAGTACCAAGCAACCCTAAATTCTTGTCTCATCACCTGCCTCCCCAGGAACAGCAGCTTCCTACATTCACTGACCCCAGCACATAGACAGTATGCTTGTAAACATCTATGGGGTAAATGGCAGAATACCTAAGTGACATAAACCCTTCTTCACTCAGGTTCCCAGGTGCTTGGCTGAGCTGGTCAGGCTGAAGTGCCTGAGGAAAACCTGCATGAGCCAAGATTCCCTGCCCTATCTGACAGAGAAGCAAGTTTAATGGAGTCTGCATGGCACTTCCTCAAAGGAACCCTCATGTGGAACTAAAGGAAAGCAAATCCAGAGGAAAAACATGCAGATCAGCCAGCCTTCTGACTTGGTAGACAAGGCCACATCCCTGACAGGGTGGTCAGAAAGATATTCAGGCCCAATCACAACACAGGTTGATGTTCCAGGACAGGGCAGACTCCTTTCAGACCCTGGACCTTCTGAAGTACTCTCAAGGTCTGGCTCTCAATCCTCTATCCTCCTAAGATTGTCTAAAGGCCTCTCTTAGGCTGGGAGTACATCTGAGTGATAGAATGCTTATCTAACATATCTGAAGCTCTAGGTTTGATCCAGCATCAAAAATAAATACGCAAAGACCCCCTTCAGCCTGTAGCCAGAGATCAGCCTGGCTCTACATCTAGATACAGACACTAGAAGCTAGTACCTCAACTGAACACTGATATTGCAGACCACACACATGCACACCCTCACCAGGGGACGGTACTCCACATCTTCTCTGAGTAGGCGGTTGTCGTTCAGAGTGTATTTGGCTTTGCCAGTCACGCTATCCACTGGCCCCTTGTCCACTTGATGCTTAATCCCTCGAAAGAGCATGTACAGAGGCTCCCCTACTGAATCCTAGGAAAGTATAGGCAGTTAGGGCCCCAGGCAGGCAGCAGAGGTCTATGAGACAGAGTGCACACTGGGGAAAGGGACAGGATGCAAGCTGAAGGTGACTGAGGACATGCTAGGCAGGGTCTCTGCTTTGGCACACGTATGCAAACTAAGTTGCATTGGAGGACATAGGGCTTGTGTTTTAAAGGTCTCAACCCCCTCTGAATAGAAGCTCTATCAGTCTCTGCCTCCCTCACCCTCACGAAGGTATAAAGACAGATGGACATCCAGTTGGTGAGCAGCTTTTCCACCACAGTCTCTGTCCTGGGAGGACAAAAAATGGGAAAGCCAGAATTAGCAAGTGCAATTCAGGGTTCTCTATTCTATAGATCCCAGACCGGACCCAAAGCCCTGCCTCAGCTCCTGCCTCCAACTGTCCACTACCCACCCAGTCACAACAGCCTTACAGACCTGCGCAGCATCAGCTTGGGGTTCTTGGCCACATACTGGGCTACCAGGTCACTGAGCAAGGTGCGAAGGATGTCAGTAAAGTACTCAAGCTTCCCATGCAGGGCCACAGTGAGTAGAGATGCAACGTAGGCACGGTCCCGAGCAGAGAAGGTTCGCTGACTCTCCAGTGTGTAGATGAACTGGGCCAGGGAGAAGATATGTGGGGGAGGGGATCAGAAATGGTGGAATAGAGAAGGGCTGGGCCAGGAGTCTAGTTAGGAATAAGATGGGATAGGAAGGGTCCAGCTGAGGGTGGGAAAGCACCTTGGTAAGAAAAAGCTTGCTGTTGAGCAAGTTGGAGAGCTGCCCCAGGCCCTGTTCCACAGTGGGTCGCCTGCTCTCAGGCACACCGAGATCCCGGTGCAAAGGTGACTCCCGGTGCCCAGGGAAGAAGACCCTCTCGGCATACACCTYATAGTCGAGGAAGGGGATGCCACTTCCCAGAAGGTCACTTGTGAGATCAGTCATCTCTGTCATGAGGTCTGTTGAGCAGAAACCAAGTTGGGTGCCAATCCTGTGTAACAGGAGTGGACTTGGGCAGAACCCTAGAGGCAGGAGCCAGCTCTAGGGCCTCACCTGTGAACTCCTTCTTGCAGCGGTCCCGTACACTGCTCTCCAGATTCTCCAACTGGATCTGAACCTTCTTATAGTCCCTCAGGGCCTGCTTGCTCTTCCTCCTGCTTAGCACCAAGATCAGGAAGGGACAGCCAAGAGGCCAAAGCCCTTGCTGGGTTCCACTTAGTCAGGCCTGCTTGACCCAGCCCTAGGCACACCCTGACCTTGTCCAGCACAGTCTAACCCAGGGATGACGAGGCATGGCCCAGAATAATTCAGCCTGCCCTATCCCAGCAAGCCACACCCACCCGTACCCTAACAGTGCAGTTGAGCCTAGGGATCAGCAAACTACAACAGCACCAAATTTGGTTTGTGACCTATTTTTACAAATACAGGTTTATTAGAACACAGCCACACTTATGTGTTTACATACTGCCCCTGGCAGCTCTTAGGCCCAATTACAGGGTTGGGTAGTTGATTGCAACAGACACATTCATCCTACAGAGACATCCATCCCACAAAGTCTAAAACATTTACTCTGGTCCTTTGCTGAGCCCTGGTCAAACCTGCCCCTTCCCCATCCTGCCTCATGTCACTTACTGCCCCAGACCAGCCCAGCCCAGCCATACCTGGCTACACCCACCTGTACATGAGGACTATGATGATGACACCCAGAGCCAGAAGAGAGGCTCCCACCCCCAAGCCCACCTGGGCTGCCACAGGAAAAGCCACAGGGCTCTCGCCATCATACTGCACATGACCAAGGGAGAAGTGCAAGTTTCCCATCTGCACCTGTGTGGAGAGTCACCTGTGAGGAAGGGTTCAGCACATTCCCAATGCCCAGCCCTGCCTGGGACCTGCCCACTGACTGTGAACTCAGGCAAAGCATCAGGTGCCTCCCGGAGGGCATGGTGCCGTGGCAGTGGCTGCTCCACAGGGGGCTCACAGTACAGATGGTGCCGGGTCAGTGTCTTCACCACACAGGGGCCATCTCCTATCATGGCCACCACCTCCTCCTTGGATATTGCCAGGTCCAGATTCTCCCCCTGGAACATGAGGTCACTGATCTGTCACTTAGAACACTTCCCAGAGAAAGCTGGTCGCCATTCAGATCCTATCCCCCCACATATGGGAACAATGGTTCTGAGACCCACCTAAGACACAGGGCTAACAGTCCCTTAGCACTACTCCCCCTGTAGATAGGGCTGACAGTCATGGAGATATCCTTCAGGCTGCTCCTCATGACCCTTTTCTGCCCCTCCCTACTTTTTCTATAGAGCTAAAAATGTGGAGAACCTAAAACTGCCTACAGAGTGCTGACCAATTAACTAACAAAGCCAGAGCCCCATTGTCTGAAGACCCCACAGGTGGGTGATGGATTACCTACCTGTGGCCTAAATACCCACCTACTGCCCACCATACATGTCAGAACATGTGCCTAGTGTTGTCTCTGTAAGCCAGGCTGCCACATAGGGATCAGCCCAGTTACCTGTTAAGTAGCACACCACCCAGCTACTGTGTGTGCCAAGTCATTTACTGATTGTCATGAAGACACCCACCATGAAATGTTAGAACCCAGGCCAGTAGTCAAACCCCTGCCAAGAGCTAGGGTTCCCCTACTCCATAAACCTCTCAGCCCTTGCTCTACTGTCCTGGCCTCTCTACCATTAGTGCAGTGCTGTCCTACAAAGGAAGGGTCTTTGGGCCCTGCCAAGCTCAAGAAGGAACAGTACCTCCACAGAGAACACACTTCCAGGTTTGTGCCGGAATGGCATGGTGGGGTCCTCAGGGTTGAGGGGCTGCAGAGTGGGATCAGCCTCATAGGAGAAGGGTATGGGGCTCAGTGTTGCAAAGTCAAAGACCAGGTTGTCAAGGACAAATTCCACCTGGACCCAGGGGTCCTCAGGTAGGCCTGGGAGAGCAGGTGTACGGCATATAATGAGATGGGAGGAGTTCACATAACATGGCTCTTCAAACTGGCAGAAAAAGACAAGAGAGGGTCAACTGAGGGGCCATGTAGGAAGAGGGCAGAGCTGGTACCAGCCATCTGTGGTTGAGGGGAAAAGGGACAGCAGCAGCCAGCCCAGTGGAGGCAGGGAGGTCCAAGGGTTTCCTACGTGATGACTGCCACAGGAGGCTCCAGGGGAACACGCTGTCTCCGGGACTGCACGGCGCCTCCGCCCATTCCCCTGGCTAGGCTGCAGCACTCCTAGAGCCACTGTCACTCGGATTCTTGGTGTCTGCACCACATCCAGATTCTGGCCACGAACCCATATCTCACGTCCTCCACTGAAATAGAGCCCATGAGCCACTCATGACTTACATGAATCAGGGTATTCTGTTTTATTTTGTTACCAAGGATTGAACCCAGGGATGCTTTACCAATGGCCTATATCCCCTGCCCTTTTTATTTTTTATTTTGAGACAGAGTCTCACTAAGTTGCTTAGAGCCTCGCTAAGTTACTGAGGCTAGCTTTGAACTCAGCCTCCCTAGCTGCTGGTATTACAGGCATGCACCACTGCCTGGCTATGAATGAGGATTTAAAAGACAGCCAGTCCCAGCTAGCTCAGCCCAGCCCAAGTCACATGACCCCAATTCCCTATGCATGGGATTCAAGGGCCCACACAGAAAGCCCTATCCCCACTAAGGGAGTGGCAAAAGCTCACTTGCCATACAACCATGCCCATGGTCCCATACCTGAGAAAGCTCTTAGTGGGGCCAGCTGAGGTGACATTGGGATCTGATGTGTATTTGAACTGGCCATGCTGAAGCCTCCGCTTAATGGTCCCAAACCACACTGTCACAGGAAGCGTGGCAGGTATGGAGTGTGGGCTGGTCTTACACTGCAGCTGCTCTGACTGCTGTTCCAGCAGCCTGGGGAGAAAGGTGAAAGTAGAAGGCAGGTCACCTGGGCTGGAGGATGTGTAGGAGAGGGGAACTAGAGACCCACTCAAGGCCTCAGCTTACTTTCCTTTCTTGCTTATTGCCATCTCCACCAGGTAGCTCTGAAGGCTGCTTTCCCACTACAGCCCCAGCTTTAAGAGGGCCTGACCAAAGTCTCACAGGGCAGATTTGCCTTCTCCCACTTTTGTTCTCCCCAGCATCCCAACCCCTCCTATTCTCTCCCTGGAGCACATGGAATTTTGAAGGATAAGGAAACAGCTCTCACAAGTGACAAAGCTGGTCTCCAACCACCACTCGGATATCCTCTAGCCTCCCGGTCAATAGCTTGGAACCATGCAGGGTGAGGCGGGTGCCCCCAGCTCTGGGGCCACGGGCTGGGAAGATGGAATGCACCTTTGGGTCCTATACAAATGATAGGGTGTGACAGAAAACAAAAACAGGGGAGCTTGAGTCACACAAAAGGGCCCTGGGGTGGAGAGCCACATGGAGGCAAAACCAGATGGGGGTCAGCTGGGAAAATAACTCAGTCGGTAGAGGGCTTGCCTCACATGCACAAGGCCTTGGGTTCAATTCCCAGCACCACAAATAAATAAATAAATAAATAGTGAGGGGCCGGCAAAGGGACTAGCCACTTGGTAGCTAGGGGGAGCTCAACAATCTGGTACCTGGTAGGCAAAGTTGAGCTCTGAGATGCTGCGCCCTCTTCCTGGCACCTCCACTGCAGCAGCACCAACCACCTCCTCTCCACTGGCCCCAGTGATGCATACAAGACTGTGGGTACAAGGCAGGCAAGAAGTATGAGGCTGTATCAAAGGCCCCCTTCAAAGTAACCCAGTAGTCCCTCTCCCCACCCCACTGCCAAATGGTTTTCCTCTTCCCATGCTCCATGAAACACATCGGGATTCTCTTGTTTTGGTACTCCCTAAGGCACATCAGCTGGCCTTGGCATCTGAGAATTAATATTTGTGGTTTAACCATTCAAGTGCTACCCCAAAGAGGCTCTCAACAAGGAAGAGTTAATCAAACCTCTGTTATGGCATAAATTTAAAGGAGCCCTGTAAAGCTGGTGTGGCGGGTGGTCAAGCTGAAGAGTGGGCCTAGCCAGCCACCCTGTCTTCTACCAACACCTCATGGCATAGTACCCACCCACAAAGTGGTAAAAACTTGATCTCTTCTTGAAAAAAATCTGAAAGTCTCCAGTCAGATCTGAGGGTAGAAGTGAACAGCCTAAGAAAATGCTGGTTATCAGCCAGAAGTTGGGGAAAATTAATTTCCAGAACATTAAGTCTCAGTGGCTCTATTCCATGACATTGTCACAGTCACTGCAAACACTCAGGGAAAACAGAACAAGTAAAGTGTGAACTACCCAGGGGAGGTTCCAGTCAGAATATATTTTAATCACTTTATAAATTACTTTGTAACCCATGTAAGTCTTAAAGTTCTGGAATCATTAACAGTCCATAAAGTCTCCTTAGGTTTTTCAGCCATAACACATTTTAGAGAAAACTCCATGCTCTTGCAAAATAGTCCTTGTTTAAAATACCTATTGTGTCATTTGCTTAGCATGCACAAGACCCTAGATTCAATCCTAAGCACCACAATCAATCAATAATAAAATACAGATTGTGGGGTCTCATCAAAGGCCTTCTGAATCCACATCTCTGAGGGTAGAATCAGAGACCTATTCTCTCTCCAAGTTACCCTGATATTCAATCAGGTTTGGGCCACTGATTGTGGCCACCACCTCTAGAATGTCCCACATGTGTACCTTGGGACCCTGAAACACTGACCAGGTTACCATGACTAGAACCTCAGTAAGCCATGAGCCCTGGGGAGGCGGCAAGGTTCCCAGAGGCTGGACAGAGAAGTCTGGCATTCTACAGGTGTGCCACAAGTATACCTCCTGAGAGCCCAGCAAGACCAGTACTTGGGTAAGGACAGCTGATGAGAAGGCTAGCCCCTTAGCCCAGCTATTTGGATCTGGGAACCCTACTTAGCACCACTATATCCACTATCACTCAGAAAGTCAGATAAGAAGACCTAACCAGAGCCAAGATGCAGAGTTACCAGTCCTCTCTGCCCCATACAGGCCCTGGAAGAACCCCAAACCAGTGACCTGCAGGTAGGTGCAGAAAGCCAAGGTGGGTACTTCAATGCCTCAGTGGCAACCCCAGCACTAAGGCATTAGAACCAGAATCAAGGAAACAGGGAGATAGAAAACAGATGAGTAGCAGGTAGTAAACCCTGAGTAAGAAAGTCAGCCATAGATCCCTCCCATKTTGAGTCCAGCCAGCTCACCTGCTAGAGACCTCATACTCCTGGGCATCCACAGCACAGGGCACTCCAGCCACCATGACCATGCCCAGCACATCCTGCACATGTTGGCCCAGGTTGGAGCCCCTGATGGTGACACGGGTACCTCCATCTATAGGCCCAGTCAGTGGTTCCACCTGTTCCAAGACAAGGACTGCTCACCTCTACCCACCTATGTAGACTTCTGACAGTCTGCAGAGGCAGCCCAGCCTCCCACCTTTAGGTTCCCTGAATCCATGGCACAGACACAACCCTCCCACCAAAGACAGCACTGAGGAAGGGATGTGCCAGCATTTCAACATACTGAGTGGATGAGAGGTGCAGGGCACTGGGTGGCCACAGCCTCAGCCTTTCCACAGGCTTCCTGGGCCACACAACGTGGATATTCTCCATCACACCACACACAACCATATTGGGGCATGGCAGTTTGGCAGCGGCTACAGTCCCAGTGGCCCACAGAACAGTTATATAGTATCACTGAAAGTAGCAAAGACAAATGTGAGAGGCAGGCCCAGAAGAGCCTTGCTACTACCAGCCCACCCCCATTACCAGTGAGTAGCTCACCATGTAGCCCATCAGCACTGTCTACACGCAAGCGGCCAGCCCGACGCAGAAACAGCCCCACCTGGAGCTCTGGCTGCAGAGCCTCATAGCTAAGCTGAAAAAGTAGGAGTGTGATCACAGCCTAGGGTTGGGGTACTCAGAAAAGGACTAAAATGACTAGTTACGGTAACACAGGATCAGAGATCAAAATTGGGATGCAGGGACCCCATAGAGTGAAACAGTTGGAGGTAGGAGGCAGAACTGGAATGGAGGGGCTCTCTGGGATTTCTATTTATAGGTCAGCCTCAATGCAAAGACCCCATGTGACACAGGGTCAGAGGTAGGGTACCCATCTGTTTTCCAGGGTCAAAACATGGATTGGGTCAAGCATGATGCAGCCAGCCTGTGGCCAGTGCACCCTTGCCCACCCAAGTTTCTGTGGTTTGCACCTGGTGCTGCTGGCACGTGACATGGCACATGGTATCTGGAGGCAGCTCACACTCAACACGGGCCTCAACCACCACTTCAAGGCCCTCCAGCTCCAATACACACTCATTGTCTCCTGGGCTGTCCTGGGGGCAGAGAACACAGTTGTTGGGGCAGTTTTGGGAACAGGCCCCATGAGTCACATGGGTCCACAGGACAGCTTTTGAGTTATAATTGGGACCCAGGGCCACACCCTCTTTTTGCTCCCCAGGAGTAGTGTAGAATTTGTCAACAGCCAAAAAGCCTGCAAGGACAGCTGCAAGCAGGACACACACACCTGGAAAAGGCGCAGATTCCTGCCTTGCAGATGAATTTCTTGTTCCACGTGGACTGGCATCAATGTGGAGCCCTGAACACTCTCCACACAGGGGCAGGAGCTTGGCCCCCAATTCACCTCTCCCTGCAGGTACCAAGAGCAAGGCAATCTATGGACTCCATGCTGCCTACCTCAGGCCTCTGTCTTGCTGGACTTCAAGAGCAAGACCCTGCCCCTGCCCTTCCACTGGGAGAATCACAAGGCAAGAGAGGGGCTACATTTCCCCAATTCCCTCCCGAGGCCTCCTTCCTGGGCTGGACCTCACCAGCTCCCAGAGCCCGGGGGTGTCGTACTGGTAGTCGAGGCTGGACAGGAGGATGAGGGGGGCAGGAGGGCCCTCGTGCTCTGCTGAGTCTCCATCACCTGAGAGGAGGGTGGAAGTGGAGAAGGCGGGCGCGTCACCCCCTGTCCTCTCGTCGGCCTCGGGCAGCTCGCCACCTTCTCTCATGAGCCAGTCCAGAGCGGGCTTCGTGGAGCCAGTGGCCCCTGGGAAAGTGGTGGCAGGTACAGTGCCAGGGGGCTGATCCAGGGCCACCATGGAGGGAAGGGTCTCAGGGCCAGGTTCTGCAGGGGGCATTGGTGCTGCATCTGAGGGTGATGGATGGGAGGCTGAGAGGTCCTCAGGTGTGGCTGCAGGTCCCAAGTTAGTGGGGGCAGGAACAGTGGTTCTAGGTATGATGGGGAGGTTGGGAAGGAGGGGCTTCTCATGGAAATGTGATTCTGAAGAGGTGGGGGAAGGAATGGGACCAGGACCTGCCCATGGCCCCCAGGGGCTGAGCAAAGAAGGTCTGGCCCCAGTTGGGACATCTGAGTCTGTGGCTCCTGGGTCCACAGGAAAAGTGTCAGGTACAGGAGGGACTGTGGATGCAGGGGCGGTGGGTGGGAAGAGGGTGGGTATATCTCTTGCAGGGGGTGCTAGGGAGAGAAGTGGGCTCTGAAGGGGGAGGCAGAGAAAGACAGGAAGGGCCACTCAGCAGGCAGATGCAGGAGCAGGAGGCAGGCAGGCAAAGGGTATGTTAAAAGGAAAGGAGACCAAGGAAAAGAGAAACAAAAACAGCCCATTAATTCTCCAAAGGAGAAACACAGAGGGCAGGCTCCAGGGGTGTCTGTGCTGAGGTGGGGCACGAAGGCCACACCTCCCGCCTCTCAGCTACAAATGTCCTCTCCTGAAACAGGATGGACGGATCAGCAGCCATTCTTTAGTGAGTCCGTCACACACAGCAGGTTGGGCGTTCAGGACACAGTCTCACATGGGCAGGCAGACACACAGACCCCGGGCCATCAGAAAACCCTCACACTGGGGACCCAAAGCCCATGTGTGGTTCATCCTGGGGTCCCACTCACCTGTTTGCTCATCACCATGGGCCCAGCATCACATGAGGCCTTATGTGTGCACAGGTGCTGCCAGACACACCAGTTACACCCCCAGTGSCTGCTCACGCAGGCCTGGCACCTGCACAGAGTACAACCATGGGGCAGAGATCACCACAGGGGAGCTCAGAGCTGAGGGACAGGATGAGGAACTCACTGTGCAGATGGGCGAAGCTCAGTGACTGCCATACAGTCGTAGAAGGAGAGGGAAGCTTTGGTGATTACCACGTCGCCAAATCTGAGCTCTACACTCACGGAGATATGGTCTGCAAAGTGGGAGAGAGGCCCAGGGCTAAGGAGTGGGGAGTGCACTTAGACCCAGAGTTAACATGCTGAGACCACACAGAGGTGGTGCTACCATCCAGAATGGGTAAAGGAAACCAGGGTCAGAGAAGGCAGTCTACAGGGCACAAAATAGACATTCTAGGGTTTGGGGCATCAGTGAAGGGACTCAGAGAAAAGCATCAATTCAAGGTTCTTGTGCCTGGATTCACACCTCACCCTGACCACACCCTTTGAAACAAAATAAGAGCAGGGTAGGGCTCCCCAGTTGTGGGACTGGCAGCTTTTCTCACCCACCGGTTCCTCTTTGCAGCACTGGGGCTTCACTAGGGTCTGGGGAGGGGCACATCACACCAGATCCAGTCAGAAGGGCAGGGCTCTGATGTTCCCCAAAGTGGCAAGAATATGACTCCCCCGGCCACAGGGGTGGCAGGTTCGGCACTGACAGGAAAACCTGCCAAGAAAGACCAGCACACACTTTTAAGGCCCCACTACAGCTAAGTAGGTAGATCAGGGCTCATTAAAGGGTACCCAATGTGGGCTGGCACCAGTACCTCCACCCCAAAACCTCACAAAATCCTTCTGAACTGGGTTGATAACAGATGGAGAAATTGAGGCCCCAAAAGGAGTAATTATATAAGGCCATGTGGTATTTGGTACATCTAACACCAAAATGCAAGGTCCCATCCCCAAAGCCCTCTCCTCGGGGGCCCTGCCTACTCTGGTCACTCACCTCCCTCCTCTCCTCTCGGCTGATGTTGGCAGGACTTATGGCTGCCACTCGCAAACAGACCACCTCAGTTTGGAAGCTCCATAGCCACTGCTCTGGCCCTTGGCCCCTTGAGCACTCTGAACGGCGACTACACCTGAGCAAGAATGACCAGTACCTAATCTGTGACGCTCAAGAGCCCACTGGGCATTCATAGGGCAGGGAAAACTACAATACTGAGGCCCTGGGCAGGCCCTTTCAGTGATAGATAACACCAGGATCCTGTGTCTGTCCTGGTAGGACAGTGATGCAGATAGGGTGGATGATAAGGGTGTCCAAAGGTCAGAGTTTAAGAGTCAAGGGCCAAGGGTCAAGAATCCTGGATGAGACAATTACACAGTAGCACTTCAGGCATGAGGCTGGGTCAGGAGGGGTCAGGAACTGGTGGAACACTAACCTGCCGAGTAGCACACACCACCCACAGTAAGGATCCCTGTGAGCAAGGCAAGATGCACAGTCCAGATGCTGAGCACAGGAAGCCACAGGAACCTTCACAAGCTGTGACAGCAAAGAGGACCTGAGGCCAGCAATCCAAACACCAGTGGCTCACCCACATTTGGGTCCCCAGCCCCACCCAGAGGACCCTCCCAGCAATCATGCCCTTGCTTATGCCTGACACTCACTGTAGTCTGGGTCATAACATACAGGTGCTCAAAAGTCCCATCAAAGGTGAGGTCTCTGCTCACTGCAGACCCCTGCTGGATGCTCCGTATGGAGTATCGTTGGCCATCACTCCCCGAGCCCAAATAGACCTGAAATTAGAGACCAGGAATTGGTCTGGCACCAATTCCAGGGCCACAAACCCAAAGCCTTCTCCCATTCACAATTTAAGCAATTTACAGATAAAATCCCCTCCTAGGAAGTCACAACTCTTTGCAACCAGTCCCAGAGTGAATAGAAGAGAGTTACAGGTAAACCCATCCATTTCTAGGAAGAGGAACACAGATTATCTCTCCCAGGCCAGATCTTGGGGGCATATCTCAGCCTCAAAGAACACTGGGGTACCTCCACATAAGCTGGGTTCTCTAGAAGCCTGTACTCTCTAGATCCTGGAACAGGGCTGGTACTTCCTGTAGACTCACACTGTGCAGCTGTCCTTGACTGTCACCCAAGAAGGCGATGATGTGTCCATCCTCCACGGTGACTGCCACAGCTGTTAACTGAACCCCTGGCAACTCTAGAATCGGTGTGGCTTCCAATGGAACATGGCTGGCCATAGGGCTGGGTGTGTGATCTGAGCCACAGGGATAAGCATCCGGGGTGTCCTGCAGGCAACAAGAAGAATTGATTAAGTCTCTCACTAGATAAACTTCCTGCCCCATCCTTCCTGGACAACCTCCTCCCAGCCCAGTCTCTCTGCCAGACCTCTCTGACAACCCAAGCCTGGGCAGCACCTGCTACAACTACATCCTTATCACTAACTCAATGCACTTAATCTATGACTGCCATAGACAGTTACCAATGGCTCCTTTCCCTCTTTTGATTCCCCATCCAATGCCTGCAGCCGCATCTTTTCCCATCCCTGGCCTGGGAGCTGCTTCCTCTGACCTCTGTGTTCTGCCTTCTCCTGAGCCATTTCCTAAAGCTCTTGCAGCTGGCCTCCTCACCTCCCAGACCACTGGCTTAAGCCCTCTGCATTTCTCACTGACTCAGTCTTGCTATGAGCAATTTCTTTCCTTCTGTACCCATCCAAAGACTACAGCCCCAAGTCCCAACCTCTTCTTCATCTCTTGCTCCAGAACCTAAAACAATGTCTCATTTCAACATTTCTGCTCTTATCCTAGACCCTCAGCCCACCTCTACAATGCTACTTCTTCAACATTCTGTTCTAAGCCCATCCCGGTACTATTTTCTGCCACCCTGAATGCTCTGCTGTGTTGAGGGGCCCCTTCATCACCTAGACCCAAAGGAAGTACCTAGTACTTGCTAACCTGATCATTCCCTGCCCCACTACCAGCTTCCTTTCAGGCTCCCTGGGTACCTTCTTGGCTGCAAGTGCCTGGCCAGTGGCTTTGGAGAAGGGCAAAGTCCAGGCCATGCTGGAACTCACCACAGGCAGCTGATCACAGCAGGAATTGACATCATACTCAATGTAGGCCACCTCAGTCCCATCCTCAGCACGGCCCTTCCGGGTGTAGCAAGCATCTCGTGTATGATTAGCAAGCCGGTCCACCTCATTCAGAGGGAAGGCACAGAGTGCTGAGGCTCCAGATGCCCCAGTAGCCACAGATGGGGGCCGGCCCACAGTGGGGGGAGCCGCTGAGGAGAAAGCTGCAAAGAGCACTTCCCCACGGGCCACCTCCTGGGACACAGCCACAGCTGCAGCCTGGATCAGCCCATAGTGGCCACCCTGGCAGGCCAGAGGCAATTCTACATAAGAGTAATAGTGCTGGTCCCAGAGGCACACTCTAGACACATAGGCTCGAAAAGCTCTAGACTGAGCCTGCAGGTCCCGTCGCAGGAACAGAAAATAGGCATTGGTCCCATGTGCAAAGGCACTCACAAAGTGGTGGCTGTACTCAGAGAGGCGGCCCACTGCCAGCTTGGCTGTCTCTTCATAGGAGAAGGCAGCTTGGGGGTCTGATGGCTGCAGGGCCCGGGTTGTAATAGGGGGGATACCACCCCCGACACCTCTGCTAGTATATCCCCGCCCTACAAATAAGAGGGGCTCCCCTGCTAACCCCTGGGCCACCAACCCCACTGTGCTGACTGCAGGGTCATTGGCAGCCACATACTGAGTGTCCCCGGGCCGCTCTGGTCTCAGCAGCAGCTGCCCAAGCTGTCCCAGTCTCCGCTGCTCACAGACACCCTGGTGCACACTCCCACACACTACCAGGGCTCCCGGGCTCACCAGGAGCAACTGGTTGGGGTTGTTGGTAAGCTGGGCCTGGGGGCACTCATCAGACATCACAGGCGGCAGRCAATCCCTGCTATCTAGCACAGGACCTGTGGACACTGTGGCCTCCAGCTGCAGCCCAGGGCTCAGTTGAAACAGGAAGTTGGTGGCCCCTAGATAGAGGGTGCCTGATGTGGGGTCCCTCACCAAGTGCTGCAGATGTGTGCCATTGGGAGTGAAAGCAGCTGGTGGAGATGGCTGGAGAGTGAGGACCCACCCAGCCCAGAGTGTCTGGAGAAGAGCTGGGCCAAGAGCAGGCATGATCACCTATTAGGAAGAAAGGTTGAATGGGATTCATGTGGCCAGCAGAGTGCCCTAACATCACTAATAAGGGATAGGAATTGCCTCCTAACCTGAGGGTAAGCAGAGGAGGACTAGGCTTAGATAAGCACTATGGTCAAGGATGACCCTAGGACCACATACTATCTGGGGAAGAAACAGGGACACTTAACCCTGGAAACTTCTACACCAACCCTTCTCTGTAGGCATTATGCTCTCCGGAGTCCTACATCCACCCCACTCCACCCTCACTCCTGCTATGCTGTGCCACCATATGGATCAAAAAGAGAAGGGCCTTGGGCTGGGGTTGTGGCTCTGTGGTAGAGTGCTCGCCTAGCATGCACGAGGCACTGGGTTCGATCCTCAGCACCACATAAATGTAAAATAAAGATAATGCGTCCACCTAAATCTAAAAAATAAATATTAAAAAAGAGAGAGAGAGAGAGTGAGAGAGAAGGGCCTGGAAGAGATAGGAAAACAAGTGAGGAAAAGGAAGGGGCCAAGAACACTGAGAGGCCCTCTTTGCATGAATGTTGGTTTCCTGGCAAAGTGGAGAGGGAAAACAAAGACTCATGGGCCACTAGCATATCTGAGTAAAGCAAGAACTGGGTGAAGGGCCTTTCTGGCCAGGAATCCAGAAGGGTGATAACCACAGAACCAACAGGCCAGAGGGAAGAGGAAAATCCAGGCTGAGAGGGGTGGGAGGTAAAAGCTTGGGCCCAATCTCGGAGAGCCCTGAGCACAAGTGGGAATACCACCACCCCCAGATGCCTAGGAGTAAAGTTAGACTCACCTGGTAGGGCCAGCTGGATCAGGAGACAACAGCATGACCTAAGTAGGAGTCACCTAGCCAGGGAGAAAGCAGAATATGAATTTGGGGTCTAGGCTGTAGGCATGTGGAAACCCTGGGCTCCCACTATGGAGGTAGCACAAAACTACCCCCTCCCCATTGCCCAGCCTGCCTGTACAGCTAGGCCCAGCCTGGCCCTCAGCCACCAAACACATTCCACAGAGGATGCCTCCTCAGCACCCACATGAGGAGGGGGAGGGCAGCAAAGCCAGGCACCCGAGGGGCCTGGGAAAGGTCAGCTAGTAAGGAGCCCCATGGCCATCAGGGCCAAATCAGGCCCCCAACATGGCTCTCTCACCCAGTTCTCTTCCTCTCAGCACTGTCTACTCTCTATCCTCTGTCCAAACCCTTCCCTATAGAGGCACCAGAGTATACACTCTCCACACCAGCCAAGGGCCATCCCAGCCCCAATGGGAACCAATACATTGGCAGATACATATTTGTACACACCAACCAGCCTGTGTGCACACACTCACACATAAACACATGGGTACTTGCACATGTACACACACATGCAGATATGATGAGTACACACACAGAAACACAGGCACATCCCATGTCCAGACACCACATAAAGTCACATCCATACAGAGACAATCCCTACACACCCAAACACATACATGGCACACTCTGCACAGGCACATGTCATACCCAGAGACATAGGTAACACCACCCACATTTAGACAATCACACATACACACACACACATGCTTCCCTGGCTCAACTACTAAGTCCTAGAGAACTGTGGAAGGCAGGCCATCTTTTGCTATTTCCTCCCATGCAGGACAGAGCTGAGCCAGGGCCAAGGGTGTGGGATGAGTAGGGTGTACCCTGAGGAAGTCATCATGCCTGTGTACACCAACCCTCAGTCCATCCAAAGGTCCATCCCTAGGACCTCACCAAACTTTGGGTACTTGCTCTTCTTACCCTCCAGCTGGGGCTCCTGAGTCCCAGAACCAAGAAACCATGGTAACACCAGCTTTCCCAGACCCCAGTGGTCCCCAACTAGGAACACCAAGCATGCATCCCAAACTGGGAGACAACTCTCACTTGTCTATGCTCAGGCCATGTTGCGCAGCCTTCCCACTACCCGGCTGCCAGGCTGTCTGTGCAGAATGTACCAAGGGTTCTCACTTCCAATGGCCCAGCTCAGCTTATCCCATCAGTGGCCTCAGCAGGGTGCTCTATGGCTGTCCCTATGTAAGCAGGGCTGGGCACAAGGCTCAGAGGAGGGTCCAGCAGCCTGGTGGGAGCAGGGACACAGTGGCCACAGCCTGGCTGGGCACTGCTCCCAAAATAGCTTGGGGGTTTCCATTTTTAGTGTGCAGAGAACAGGGCAGCTCTATGGGAGCGGGAACAAGGCTGCCTCTGTTTGCCACCCAAGGGGGGGTGGGAGGTGGCAGGGAAAGTCTCGAACCAGCCAGAAGCTCAGGACGGTGGCAAGACCAGGCTGTTTAGGAGCCCCCACCTTGTTACCACAGAATGGGGGGAAAAATTTCTTCCTCTAGGAAGAGAGTCCACCTGAGGATAGTCAGAGGCCACCTCCTGCACTTGGCTACTGCCCATTCCTTCCGCCACCTCATGCCAAGGATGTGCCCTGGGCGTAGGGTCCTATAGTTAGACTGACATTCACTGTTTCATTTGCTGGCAAATATTTGCTTAGAGCCTACTGCATGCCAAAAGTTCTCCAGGCCTCAAGGGGCAGCAAAAACACACTCACACACATACAAAAAAAAAAAAAAACTCCCCAAATGTGAAATCACAACTGAGTTGAGGGGCACACAGGAAGAAAGAAATGCATGGGAACAGAAGAGCTTCTGACCAGGGCACATAGAAAATTGAAGGCTGACCCACTACAGGGAACTATGTCAGGCTTAATCAATCAGTTTTCCCATGAAGCAAGGCCCTGCACTCTTCCCCGCATACCACGGGCAGGTGGAAGACAAAGGACAGTGACATTTTCTCCTCCATGTTAGGCACACTTATTTTACTTAACCTCTGCCACACAGCACAGAGCAGCCTCCCTAATCTACCCCCACCCCCAAACTCACAAGATTTTCTTTGAGCAGAAATGGAGTGCATCTCTCTCTCTAGAGCTTTTGGGGTACCCCAGAGCCAGAGGGATAAAGGTCAAGCCCCTAGAGTCCACATCCTCCCCCATACATGCTCTTCATTCCTGCCTGAACTGCAGGCTGTACCACTTCTCCCTGCTGTCACAAGGACTGTTCCCACAACTTGGAATGCCCATTCCCTCTCTATCTCATTAACTCCCACGCCCAGCCATCACCTCCCTGGGGAGCCTTCCCAGTCCTCCCAGGCTCCTGAGGAAGTTGCCTGTGTGGCAGATAGAATGGACACACCCAGTCACCATCCTGGAGTACAGTGCTCTGCCAGCTGGGCTCTGAGCCTCTGATTTCCCAATGATAGAATGATAGTCCTCTGATCAGTAAAAGTGATAATGTGTGTGCCTGGCATTAGTTGCACTACCCAAGAAGACCACTTCTCCCCATTACATCATTCCACACTGGACCTGAAGCTCCTTAAAGACAGAGTAYGGCTTTTGATTTGGAGTCACCAGCAACTAGCACAGATATTAGCACAGGGCAGGGGCTCCCAGCATAGTGAATGAACCTCCATTTCACTTCCAAGGAGATTCTGTCCCTGGGAGAGATGAGGCTTACACATGCCTCTCAAAGCCACTTGGCCTTAGACAGGGCAAAGCACTGGCTCCACTTTTATTAAACCACCAGGCAAGAGCACATTGAGATGGCTGATTTGAGCCAAACCTTGAGTCCCCAACTTGCACAGGCCGAGATCTCCTGCCTACTCCCCACAACTCAGGCCCTGCCTAGGCTCACAGCCAAAGCCTAACTGCCTGTGCCCAGGCCTGTCTGGCAGGTCTCTTCTGGGCCCAATCTCTCTCTGAACTTCTTCAGCAGGGCCCAAGATTGCTTGCAAAGTTTGCAAAGAGCAAGCACCACCGGAACCTCCTGCAGCTGTCCTCACCAACCAAAAGGGTCACAAATTTGGTCCTCCCACACCTGTATATTTATTTATCGTGTCTGAGAGTTAGTGGGAAACTGGCATGCCCTTTCCATCCTCCTGCCCCACTCCCATGGTCCACCAAAGGGAGAAAATATTCATTGATAGTGGTGCACAATGCCCTCTCTCTTTTCTGGGTGTTGAGTAGGGTGAAGGGAGCCACCGTTTACCAGCCACCCACGTTGACCCGACGTGCTCATCAATCATCCGCTGAATTTGAGTGTGGAGAAGGGGTCCCACTCTAGTGTAAGGAGACTCGTGGTCCGCCTTTGTCAGCCTCACCAAGCGCAACCTCAAAGGGCTGCTTCTTCTGAGGGAATACCTGGACCACCCCATTCGGCTCTTCCCCCAACCCTCCTCCCCCACTCTGCGGCAAGGAAAAGGACCCCACCAGTGGTCCTGGAAGGGCGGGGAAGGGGCCGGCCGGACCGKACCGCCGCGGTGGTGGTGGCGGCGGCGGCGGCGAGGAGGGGGCGCGGAGGAGCAGCTCCACCTCCTCTGTCTCCCAATCGCGTTACAGGCGGAGCCACCAGAGTTTGCTTTCGCGCTCAGAAGTGTAGTTCCAACTCTCTTGATCCAAGCCGCCCACCACTCACTAAGGCAACCCCTGCCCGACTGGATCGAGGCCTCAGGCCATGCCACTCGGGTCCCGTGGTTTCGTCCCAGTCCCACTGCCCCGGCCCGAGCCCCGCACTCACCACCCAGCCAGCCCGCGGGATGAGCACCCTGAAGCGGGCGCCGGCCGCTCCGGACTCGCTCGGGATCTGCGCTCAGCGGCCTCCCCCGGGGAGGTGGGTCTGGCGAAGCCGCTGCAGTTACCCGGAGACCGAGGGGCGGAAAACTGCGCCCGCTGCCCGCCCCTCCCGCCGCGGCGCTGCCACCGCTGGGAACAAAGGAGACAAAGCCGCGTCGGCCGGGCCGGGCTCCGCTCCTTCCCCCCCCTTGCCCGCCGGGCCGCCCTTCCCCCTCCCGCCGCCAGGGCCTGGCCGGAAGCAGCGGGGAAAGCGGGACGCGCAGCCCTGAACCGCCCGGGACCCCGCATTCTATTCCCCCGGGCTTAGTGTTTGCCCACGAATGTGGAATGGGGGGGACGGTTTCCAGCACCGGGGTAACACTTCACCCAAGAGGTAGCCATGGCAACGCGGACCGCGGGGGGAGGGGGTGTTAAGGAGAGAAACCTGGAGCAAGGGCGATCCCGCCCCGCCCCCTCCGGGCCTCACCTGCGCTCAAGGTTGGCACCGAAATTCGCGGCCCCACCTCCACCCAAAGAGGCCCGGATGGTCGCTGCGGTTTGCACCCCATGTGCTTTTGGTAAAGCGCCCCAGCCTCTTTGCCTCACCAGAACCGGGTGAGACCCGCGCCTCTCACCTGCCTGGCCTGTTGGCCCGTGAACACCACCACCACCCCGCCTCGCCCAGTGCCTGGAGCTCTTTTTTCCTTCTGGTACCGGGATCGTGTAGTCGATCCTCCCCAATTTCCTTTGTCTGAACTCCTAGGCGCCTTGTTTCTCCTCTTCACACCTGGCTCTGCCCACCGCTCCTTCTTCCAGATCTCCCCAACAACCAAGCTCTCCTTCCGGCCCCCACCCCTGGCTGTTTGAGAAGAGCTCGGGCTTTGGACCTGAGTTTGCGCCATCACTAAACCGTGTAACCTGACACCCACCACCACCACCTATTTGCTAATCTACAAGTGGGGGTGACAGCTCCCCTAGCCGGTCTGTGAAGCAGGGTACACAGGCTGCGGAGGTGCACAAGCAAGGTCTCACTTCCTTTCCTCTCAGGACTGTACTTTGACTCACCCCAAACTGAGAAACCTTGGGCAAGTCTGGGCTCCCTCACTATCAAACTGGGCCTTCCTGAGGAGGAAACGCTGGGCGAAGGGTTTTCTCCTGAGGCCTATTTGTGTCTTAAGCAAAGACTAGGCCCCGCCATTACCACGACTTCCAATGAGACAAAATTTGTCACAGAACCTTCCAGGGCCTTCACAAACTAGAGGAAACCTCAACCAGGGGGCTCAGGTCTTCCACACTGGCTACTCTTCAAACTTCCTACCCCCCCCCCAGGGTCTCCATTCTCATTCATCTGCCTTCCAGATTCACCCTCCCATTACCTCTCAAGTCTCCCCTCTCCTTCATCCCTACTTCCAGTCCCTAAACCCAAGCTTCCAGCACCTTACAGGCACTAGCAAGGAAACCCTTTCCAGTTCCCTCACCTCTAGGCTCCAGCCTCAGAGACTGACAACTCTCTTCCCCATTCTCTAAATATACAATCTCCAACTCCCCTACAACCATTCTTACCTCAGCCAGGAGAGCTTGCCCCAACTCCCTCACCCACTTTGGCTTTCCTGTCACTACAGCTCATAGGATCCAAGCTGTTCCCCCGCCCTTTTTTTTTAGTTGTTGATGGGCCTTTATTTATATGCAGTGCTGAGAATTGAACCCAGTGCTTCACACATGCTAGGCAAGCACTCTACCACTGAGCCACAACCCCAGCCATTTGTATCACCTTTTGCATGCCTAGAATCCTCTCCTCCCCAAATCCATTCACTCAAGTGCACAAACATCAAGACCTATCTTACCCCATAGGTAAACCTGGACTCACCCCACAGACCTCCTGATCTGTATACAGATAAGGTACCTCCTGTGCCATTAGAATAATGAACACTCAGAACAGAGGTCATTCCATCCCATGCCATTCTGGGGAAACATCGCACACTGAAGATGGATTGACCAAATGACTGAGGGACCAGGTACTCAAAGGTTCAGAGGACTAGTGGGGTCATCTGGGCTGAGCACAGGCTCCAAGAGGAGGGTACCTAATACAAAACATTTCCGCTTTACTGACTTCTGCAGAACACTTTTACACAGGCACAGACGAATGAGCTCCCATCCACAGATCTAAGGTACCACTTCAGTGTACTCTGAAAGGGTAGGTAGGCTTTCTACTATATGCCAGATCTCCAGCACTCCAACACAAGTACAGAGCACCACCTTACATTCTAAGACATTTTAATTGCACATTCAAAGTTGTCATAATTAATGTAAATAAGCATTGCCTGCAAAGCAAAGTACATGCAGATGGTAAGCCATGCAGATGGTGTTCAGACTCAGGCTGAGGCTGAATATGTCCCAAGACTCGCTTCATCACTGAAATTCACTAATGAAAGCCACATTCTATCCCCTTAGACCTTCAATAGGCAGATCCAGGGGCTAGCTGGCCTTGAGCAGCATGTAGAGCACAGGCAGTGTCGCCATAAACGTCACACAAGTGACCAGTGTGCTGTAGATGGTGTTCCTGTTGCCTTGAACTTTTACCCTCTGTTCCATGTCAGACAGAGCCAACATCACACTCTGCTGTTCCAGCAAGGAGCCAAGCAGAGCCCCATCTGCTGGCTCCACCAAGCTTGGGTGTGCTGCAGCCTTTGCAAGCTGAACCACCCCAGCCATTTGGCTGAAAGTCTTTTCCAGGCCATCAAGCTGCTCTCGTAAACCCTCTAGACAGGAATGGACCTGCCGAGAATGACTGAGCTGCTCTTTCAAAGCAGCTGAAAGGACATCTGTGTCTCTGTTTCGATGCGGGGAAGTACCTGCCAGTGACCCAGATCCCTGGCTCTGCCCAGCATGCACCAGGCTCCTCAGGTCTACCACGAGGTTGTGGAGGTCCCTCTGTTGGAGGGAGTAGCTAGACGCCTGTTCACGGATGGCCTCTTGGAGACTCACAGGCCCTTTCTGTGCCTCCACAAGTAAAGCCTTCAGTTCCTGTAGCCGAACACGGTTTACATAGGTGGAGCCAGCCACACCAATCAGGGCTCCTAGGACTGACCCAATGAGGGACCAGTTCTTGGTCCTCTCGGCCCTTGCCCGCTCCTTCTCGTGACTCTCACGCACAGCTGCAGAAAAAAGGGAGAACTTCTCACGCTCAGAGTCTTCTGCATGCATATAGGCAATGCGGAGCTTCTTCTCCTCCTGTGGAAACAAAACATGTCACATAGCAGCAAGAGACCCTGTGGCTATAGCCAGTGGCACCTGGGTCACTTCTCTGCCCCTGGTTCCACTACACTTGCTGAATGATAAAGGCCACATAAACCTGGCTAGGTGTAGGGGCAGAGAAACAGGGAGTGTAGAAGTAGTGGCATGATATTCCCATCTGGGCAGTCTTGGGTCTGACCAGAAGTGCACTTATGTTTCCCAAAGGTGTTTTTTAGGAAATGATGTGTCTGGAGCTGCCTGGGCTGGTCCCTCCAATAATCTGCCCTTCTTAGTAATCTGGGTCCTAGAATGTCAACCCCACTACTCAACAGGAAGAACATGAACAGGCTCTGGAAGCATGGGGCCCTACCCCTCCACAAGAGCTTCTGGTTCACCTCTTAGTCTCTCTACAATTTACCAGGCAAGGGGCCCTGTGCAGGTGAGAAAGGCTACCTCATAAGAGGCTTACCTGCAGCATCCTGTGCTCCAGAGTAGCCAGTTCCAGGTACTGGTTATCTTCCCTGGAAACACGGTCCAAGCGATCCCTCACCTCCTTCAGCTTTGCTTGCTGAACTTCCAAGTCCTCCCGAGCCTCTCGGACAAGCCCACGAGCCACCATGAACACTTTCTCTGCCTGCAGAAAGAACAGCAGAGGTCATCAGTCCCCTCCCTCAACACCCACACAAGCTCAACTCCTTGGCCAAAAAGGCAGTGGTTAAGGGGTCACTGGGGTGTCAACTGCAAAGGGTAGAAACGGTTCTTTTGATGCTCTTCCTGGCTCACCCAGTGGTATAGCCCTGGGCCACACCCCTCCAAATCACCAGATTTATCCATTCAAACAGAAATAATGTGCCCCTGAGAAAGTTGAAAACAGCTAACAATGCATATAATTGGTGTTCACTAAATCCAGCCAACTCAGATATAAAGCACAGTAGAACCCCCGTTCTTACATTGTTTCCCATGTATTACCTTACTTATGCCTCAGGACAAGGCCATCAAAGGCATTGCTACAACTCTCCAGTTTATATACCAGGAAAGTCCAGCTTGGCCAAGCTCACAATCCTCAGATTCTTCCTGCCTTGCTACAATGTTTTGTGCCTAAGCAGGAGTGGGACTAGAGGTGACACAATGAATTTCTGCTGCCACAAAGGACTTGACAACTGCCTCAGGCCCTCTACCTTCACATAATAAGGCAGAATCACACCCCCCTTGCCTGGAAGTCTCACCACCAACCCTCCCTAACAGTCTGTGAAGGATGTTCATTGGCTTAATTGAATGTATATTAATGGCCAAGGACTTACTGGCACACAGCAACTATTTTCACAGAGATTAGGGGGCATAGTTACATAGAGACCTTCATCCCAGAAGTGTCAGACCCAGGTTTCCATGCAAGAATAAGTCAAATCCCTCCTCCAGAGATGTTTAAGAAAAGGAAGGTCTGGCCAGGCGCAATGGCACACACCTATAACCCCAACAACTTGCAAGAGGAATGCAAGTTTAAGGCCAGCCTGGGCAACTTAGCAAGACTCTTGTCTCAAAATAAAAATAAGAAAGGGCTAGTGGTGTAGCTCAATGGTACAGAACCCCTGGGTTGGAAGGAAGGAAGGAAGGAAGGAAGGAAGGAAAAAAATAAAAAGTACTGGGGATATAGCTCAGTGGTAAAGCAGCCCTGGGTTCAATCCACAGCACCAAAAAAAGAAAGAAAGGCAATTTGGAGTGGTTTCCCAGCACCAGCATATGGCTGATAACTTACCTGGTAGTAGCCAACATAGCACATTTCCCAAGTCTGAGGGCAGGGCCAACCACCCCAAGTCCCCTGCTCACCTCAGTCACATTTCCCTGGGCCTCTCGAACCTCATTAAGTCCAACAAACTCTTCATATCTGTCCCACCAAGTCTTGGCTGTAGAGGTCGCCCTTTGTTGAATGTTGTGCCCCAGGGCTCTTCCTAGTGCTGGGAGGCGGTGATATAGCCCAAGGGCTGCTTCCTCTGGTCGCTTATCCCCAGGCTGAGTGGGGCCTGGGCTGCAGAGAGTCCTGGCCACAAAGAGGTCCCTTCCAAGGAGACCCCTTCGCATCAGTACATGGGATAAATCCATGATGTGCTGCATGGCAAACACAGGACTACACCCCATCAGCGGGAGATCTATGAGGAGGACATCAGAGAGATGAGTTCACAAGTAAGAAAGGCTGGACAGAAGCTAAGTCTCAAGGCCTAGGGATAGTTCTGAACATATTCACACTAAAATTATCTAAACCAAGCACCACTCTGTTCAGCCCAGAGACTGCAGCCCTGTGGTAAGAGTTTCCCCCAGGTCTCCTGAACAATGGAACACATTCGGGGAAAAGCTTATGTAGAACATCATGTCTTCCATGTTCCTCCATGACACCACCCAAAACAGACCTTCCCACCTCCTTGCATCCCTCTGATGTGACCTGGATGATAATTCTACAACCCAGTTTTCTGATAATGTCAAAGAAAGATACCAAACCTGAGTTATGTCCATGCTGACAAAGCCTCACAAAGATTCATGAAAACTTACTGGAAAGTGATGGAACTGAGGGCAATTCAGGGAAGATTAAGATCCAGGGTCATTTCTGGAACTAACCCTCACATTCAACTTCCCAGACTTCTGAAGCCATCCTCCCATTGGGTAAGCAAAGTTTCAATTATGTGCAAGGACATAAAGACACAGGTTATTCATATCCCAACAAAGAAAACTCTCATCACTCTTTGAGAAGATAATTCCAGAGGAAGAAAAAAAAAGTCTGCTTTCTCCAAAGAGAACAGCTTTTCTTAGGTTCACAAGCCTTCTCCTGCCATCTAACTCAACTTTCCAGACTACCAAGTCCCAGTCTCACATTTCTTAAGAGCTTTTTCCTTCCTCTCCAACTTCAGGCACTGCTCAACAGGTTAGGTTTCTCTAGTTTCCCTTTTAGCCTTGCTTTGATGTTTGGGCCTTAACAATGCCTACTTTCCCGAATATGAACAACATAGTGAATCTCCCAGTATCCCAGAATCAGGCCTTGCCCAGCCCCAGAACAGCACTAAAAAGGAGGTCAGTTACCCATATTCTCAGGAAAACCTGGCACCACCTTCTGGCCAAAGCACATTTCAAAGCCCCTAAACACTGATCCTAGCTGTCAGAGTGACATCTGGTGGCCAAATAACCAAGTCAGTCAGAAAAAAAGCAAAAGGAGCTAGGCACAGAAAGATTGAGGGAGGTACATCAGATGCCAAACAGAAAAAGGCTTCCTGAGGTAGGATGATGTGAAACAGAGATCTGCCCACAGCATCCCAGCCTCAACCTCATCACCTATGAAGAAGCTCAGGCCCTCATGAAAATAAGCCTCATGGGCAGGGACATGCCTTCTGGTCAGAGTGCACCCAAGCTAAGAGCCATTAAAGGGTCTTAGCTTCCCTTTAACAGAGGTTCCAAGGTGTGCTATACAGGAACCCCCAGCCTCATTCATAAGGCTGGGAACCATGGAAAATCACATTTTCCATGCCTCAGTGAATGGGTGAGCCTCACAAGCCTCAATACTAGTGCCCTCAGCACACAGACCATGGCCCCACAACAGCCCTGCCAGTGTACCCTTCACCAAAGCAAAGCACATGGCATTGCACCCCACCAAACAGAGTACCCACTCTCTTTCCCAGCAACACTTGGCAAAAAGGGTTCATCACCTTAGCTATCACCACTCCCTCCTCTTTCCCTCTCTTGATCCTACTCCATGATCAAAGTTGTTCCCTACAGGCCCCTCAAAACTTCCAATTTTTTAGGTTCCTATTTCTGCTTCTCAAATTTCTTCTCCAGCCTCTCTGCAACTTTTGATACCCTCTCTTCCTGAAATCACTGCCCTCTTGGCTTCCTCCAATCTGTTCAATCTCCTTTCCTCTGGCAGAGGCCCACTCATGGACCCCAAGAGAGTCACCCATCCCTGGGAGAGATGATAGCTACAGCCTCCTCCTGTGCAATCTCAGCTTCCTCTCCTGCCTTCCACAAACATTCTCCATACAGCAGCCCAGAGGTCTGTTAACATGTGAGAGAGATCGTATCTTTCAGCTCCCAGTTTACCTAGCATGAACCCCAAGCCTGGAAGCAGCTAACAAGTCTCTCAGCCCTTACCTTCTTTCTTCTCTCCATCACTGTACTCTGCTCCAGCCACCTTGACATGCTAAGCAGGATCCTATCACAGGCTCTATGCCCTGCTGCTCCTCCAACCCAGGCCTCTCTTCCTCAGTAAATCTACATGGCTTATCTTGACATTTATGTCTTTCCTCATAGCTCACCTCTCAGTAAGGCCTTCCTTGGCCACTCATTGCATGGCCATCTTTCCTGCTTCATTTTTCTCTATTAGACATCCATTTCCTAACTAGAACATAAGTTTGGTGACACAGGGATTTCATGAAGAAATGTGTCAATAACATTTGGAGTTGTTTCTCCACTCCTTTCCCTCCTCTCAGCCTCTCTGGCCCATCCCAATCCCTGGCCTATCTTCCCCACTTAGGTATCTTCCAGACCCTTTAACCAGCAAAGGGAAAATGGTACTGGCAGAGGTAAAAGGTGGAAAGCACTTGAGGCTGTCCAAAACCTGAAAGGCAGTCAGTGCAACRCAGGAGTAGAAGCAGACAAGGGTAGATGGAGGAGAAGCTGGACAAACGGACAGAGGCTCAATTGAACAGGGTCCTAGGAGCCAAGCTTAGAATCTTGCCCCTCCAAATCCATTCTCCCACTCCATCTGTCTCCTGCCAACTGCTCTTTCTTCAACCCTCTTTTATCTGTACCTTATCTTCATTCACAATTGATGCCCTACTTCATTCCTCACCAAGAAAATATGAATTTGGAAGGGAACTTCCAACAAACTCCCATAATACCTTCGCAACTGCCGATTTCTGCTCCATTTCCCTTTCTCTCTTTACTCTTATTATTCTTTTATTATTCTTTTTTTTTTTTAATGTTGTACAAGGGATTGAACCCAGGGGCACTCTACTATTAAATCACATCCCCAGCCATTTTTATTAATTTTGAGACTGGATCTCACCAAGTTGCCCAGGCTAGCCTTGAACTTGATGATCCTCCTGCCTCAGCTGTTTTACAGGCATATACCACCACACCTGATTGGGCAATTGCTTTTTTGATGACCATACTGTAATAATTCAACAGAGAAAAAACACTCATTTCAAAATGGTGTTGGGGGCTGGGTAGCTCAGTCAATAGAGTGCTTGCCTCATATGCACAAGGTCCTGGGTTCAATCCTCAGCACCACACACACATATATATATTTAAAAAAAAAAAAATGGTGTTGGGCTAGGAAAGGAGGCCCACACCTGTAATCCCAGCAACTGACTATGGCAGGAGGATCACAAATTCAAGGTCAGCTTCAGCAACTTACCTTTTGTCAAAAAAATAAAAAAGCCTGGGTATGTAGCTCAATTTTAAAGCACCACTGGGCCCAGTACTCCCCGGCAAAAATGGTGTTGGAGGGGCTGGGGCTGGGGCTCAGTGGTAGAGCGCTTGCATAGCATGCGTGAGGCACTGGGTTCGATCCTCAGCACCACATAAACAAATAAAGATATTGTGTCCACCAAAAATTAAAAAATAAATATTAAAAAAATGGTGTTGGAATAACTGCAAAAGAATTAATTTAGACTTGTATGTCACACTATATACAAAAATTAACTTGAAATGTATCAAAATCCTTAATGTAAGATATCAAACTACAAAAATCTTAGAAGAAAATAAGCAGTGACTTCTTAGATGTGATACCAAAAACACAATAAACAAAAGTTAAAAAAAAAAAAGAGAGAGATTAAAAGAAAGAGAGAGAGAGAGATAGAGAGAGAGAGAGAGAGAACTGGACCCTACCAAATGAAACACTTTTGTGCTTCAAAAGAGAGTATCAGGACTAGGATTGTGGCACAGAGGTAGATGTGTAAGGCACTAGGTTCAATTCTCAGCACCACACATAAATAAAATAATTAAGTAAAGATCCATCGACAACTAACAGAAAATTTTTTTTCCAAAAAAATACACTATCAAAGCCAGGCGTGGTAGTGCATGCCTGTAATCCTAGCAGCTCGGGAGGCTAAGATAGGAGGATTCAAAGCCAGCCTCAGCAACTTAGCAAGGCCCTAAGCAATTTAATGAAACCCTGTTTCAAAATAAAATATAAAAAAGGGGTAGGGATGTGGCTCATGAACCCAGTGCCTCTGGGTTCAATCCTCACAACCAAAAAAAAAAAAAACAAAAAAACAAAAGATGACGACACTATCAAAAACATAAAACAATATGGGCTAGAAGTGTAGCTCAGTAGTAGAGCACTTGCTGAGCATGCTTGAAGCCCAAAGTTTGATGTCCCAGCATCACAATAAAAGGGAAAAAAAATGAAAAATTAAGTTTATACAATGGACTCCCCATCTCTTTGATTCTCAGAATAAAGAATCTATGCTTCTAGGGAAGACCAATGCATGCCCCAGGTCCCATCTCCCTCCTCAGATACTGCTCAACAATTGATGTGGCACCCCCTTCAGCAACTGCCCCATTTCTATGTTCTTCACATCTGACTCTTCCACAGATTGCCTGAACGCACCGTCTCCACTTGTTTGCCTCCTGTTCTCTCACAAACCCTGTCTGCTCTGGCCTTCGTACCCACCATGCCACTGGAACTGTACTTGTCTGGATCACCACACTACTAAATCCAATGACAAGCTTTAAGTGCTCATCTCATTTGTCCTGTCAGAAATCTGTGCCTCATGATAGCAACCTTCTTCCTTCAAATGCCACTTTCACTTGGCTCCTAATCCCCCACTCATCTCCCTAACCTCTAAACACTTGCCTCAGGGCTCAGGGCTCAGACTTCTAATACAGTATTTTTAAATGCTGGGTACATAATGGTGCACACCTATAAACCCAGTGGCTTGGGAGGCTGAGGCAGGAGGACCACAAGTTTAAAACCAACAATTTAGTGGAACCAACCCCGATGCCCCTCAATAGATGAATGGATAAAAAAAATGTGGCATTTAGGGCTGGGGATGTGGCTCAGCGGTAGCGCGCTCGCCTGGAATGCGTGCGGCCCGGGTTCGATCCTCAGCACCACATACAAACAAAGATGTTGTGTCTGCCAATAACTAAAAAATAAAATTTAAAAAAAATGTGGCATTTATACATAATGGAGTACTACACAGCACTAAAAAATGACAAAATCATGGAATCTGCAGGGAAATGGATGGCATTAGAGCAGATTATGCTAAGTGAAGCTAACCAATCCCTAAAAAACAAATGCCAAATGTCTTCGTTGATATAATGAGAGCAACCAAGAACAGAGCAGGGAGGAAGAGCAGGAGGAAAAGGTTAACATTAAATAGAGTCATGAGGTGGGAGGGAAAGGGAGAGAAAAGGGAAATTGCATGGAAATGGAAGGAGACCCTCATTGTTATACAAAATTACWTATAAGAGGTTGTGAGGGGAATGGGGAAAAAATAAGGAGAGAAATGAATTACAGTAGATGAGTAGAGAGAGAAGATGGGAGGGGAGGGGAGGGGGGATAGTAGAGGATAGGAAAGGTAGCAGAATACAACAGTTACTATTATGGCATTATGTAAAAATGTGGATGTGTAACCGATGTGATTCTGCAATCTTTGTAATGTTTTGAATAACCAGTAAAAAAATAATAATAATAAAACTAACTTAAAATAAATAAATAAATAAATAAAACCAACAATTTAGCAAGATCCTGTTTCAAAATAAAAAATAAAAAGGGCTGGGGATGTTGCTCAGTGGTTAAGCACCTCTGGGTTCAATTCTTGGTACCAAAATAACAAAAAAATGCTATGATACTGGGTGCTCACTTCAGCAGCATAAAATTGCAATGATACAGAGAAGATTAGCATGGCCCCTGCACAAGGATTACACACAAATTCATGAAGCATTCCATATTTTTCCACTATGTATAACTACTTTTAAAAAAGAATTAATACTAATGAAATTATGCCTATGGAATAAATAATGTTAGATCTTGATTCATTGTACTTATAGATCATTAGTAGCCCTATTTAGATGACAAATTACCACACACCCAAGGTGTTTTACTTATTTTTTTTAAGAGAGAGGAGAGAGAGAGAGAGAGAATTTTAATATTTATTTTTTAGTTATTGGCAGACACAACATCTTTGTTTGTATGTGGTGCTGAGGATTGAACCCGGGCCGCACGCATGCCAGGCGAGCGCGCTACCACTTGAGCCACATCCCCAGCCCACCCAAGGTGTTTTAAAGGATTAAATTAAATCTGTTAGATCTATACCTGGCAGAACAAAATGAGAAGTGGTAGCAATTGTTATTATTGATTATAATGAGAACAAATAAATACTTGATGTTGGTAGCAAATATGTTCTTCCAACAAAACTGTCAAGTGAGTATTAAAAAAAAAATGCAACGGAGCTGAAGTGCAGTGAAGTGGCAGAGTGCTTACCTAGAATGTCCAAGACCTTGTGCTCAACAACCAGCACTATTTAAAAAGGGGGGGGGGAGGGGCTGGGGTTGTGGCTTTGTGGTAGAGTGCTTGCCTAGTATGCTTGAGGCACTGGTTTCGATCCTCAGTACCACATAAAAATAAAATAAAGGTATTATGTCCTCCTATAACTAAAAATATATATATATAGGTTGTGGCTCAGTGGTACAACACTCAGCACGTACAAGGCTCAGCACCACATAAAAATAAATAAATAGATAGATAGATAGATAAAGGTATTATGTCCAACACCAATTGAAGAATATTTAAAACACACACACACACACACACACACACACACACACACGGATGAAAATGCTTTTAAAAATGATTGCGGTAATGTCTGCACAGCTCTGATTATACTAAAATCTACGGACTATACATGTTAAATAGGTTAATTGAATTGTATGATAAATTACATATCAATAAAGCTGTTATTTAAAAAAGAGAGAGAGCGCTTTAATTGAAGTACAGCTCATTGGTAGAACATTTGCCTAGAATGATGGGCTCAATCTCTAACACCTCAAACACAAAAATTAAAACTATACTGACTTCTCCAATCCAGACTTCTCCTCAGGATTCAGGCTTATTTATCAAACTGCCCAACCCTTATCTTTGCTTAAAAACTAACAGGGTCGGAAGGGAATGTAGCTTAGTGGTTAAGCACAGGTCCAGTGTGCCCCAAGACCCTGGGTTTGATACCAAGCACCACAAAAAAAATAAAATCTAATAGTAAATCTTATCTTCCCCTCTATTTTGGTTTGGTCAATTTTTCCTGGCTATGACCAAAATACCTGACCAGAACAACTTACAGGAGGAAAGATTTATTTTGGTTCATATTTCCAGGAGTTTCAGTCCATGGTTGGTTGGCTCTACTGGTCTGGGCCCAAGGTGAAGCAGAACATCATGGCAAGGACATGGTGGAGGGAAGCTGCTCAGCTCATGACAGCCAGAAAGCAGACAGGGAAGAAGGACCAAGGATAAGATATAGTCTCAAAGAGCATGCCCCTGGTGATCTACTTCCTCTGATCATGGCCTACCTGCCTACAATTTCTACCTCCTCCCAGTAGTCCATTCAAATTATTAATCCATCAAATGGATGGATCTACTGATGAAGTTAGAGCTCTCCCGATCCAATCATTTTCTAAAAGCCCTACCTCTGGACATTGCTGCATTCCTTCAACACATGTGTTTTGTGGGGACATTCCAGATACAAACCATAAAACCTCCCAAACCTGCTTTTCCCATAACCTTCTCCATCTTAGTTGATGGCAACTTCAAGTCCAAATGCTCAGGCTGAAAACCTCACATCCTCCAAAACCCCTTACTTTCTCTCCTACCCTGACATCTAATTGATCAGCAAATGTCCACTGGGATCACTCTTCCTTTTATCTCTGCTAGTGCTACCAAATGGTCCCAATGACCAACATCCCTTTCCTGGATTATCCCAAGAGCCTCTTGACAGGTTTCCCTACTCTAGCCCTAATAGACTACTGTCAACAGAGCAGCCAGTGTTCCTCTCAAAACACAGGTGAGACCATGTCTCTGCTCAAATCCTCAAATCTTTTCTCACAAAGTAAAAGTCAGTCTTTTCCACAGCCTACAGGGGATGGAGCCCCAAGCTCCCATACCTCTCAGACCTCATTTCCTACTATTCTCCCTTTCCTCACTCTGATCCAGTCACATGGACCTTCATGATGCTAGAACACACTAGACTGTTCCTCCTAAAGGTTTTCCAATCCTTAAGTGACCAGTGATCATGGTCAGCACTGCTTGCTCTCTGGCTTTAAGTTTTGCTCAAATATGAATTCCTGGGGAGGTCTTTTTGTGGCCACCCTATCAGCAATGGCCATCCACTCTTATCCCAGTACTCAATACCCACTTTCCCTCTTTTTCTCCTAAAACATCTCATGAACTCTGATATGTATTTCACTTTTATACTTTGTTTATAATCTGTCTCAGTTGAATTTAAGCTACACCAGCACAAGAAGTATTGTTCACTGCTGAATCTCCAGAGCCTAATATACTATCTAAATATAGTACATACTCAACAAAAGTGCAATGGATGAATAAACAGAATTCACAAACAAGTGCACTCCTGATTATCTTATAAAAACCTAACTCCTTCCAATGTCTTCCAAAGTTGTAGGATCTGGTGACTTAGAGCCCTCCCACTTCTGCCATCTTCCTATCTCCCTTCAGTAACTACTTTCTGAATTCAAGAAGAGCTCCTGGCACTTGCACTCCCCTATACCCGCAATCCTCTTTTTTCCGGTGCACGCAACTGCAGGCCCGGCGCATTCAGGTCAGGTACCCTTCCCACAGTTCCGGAGACCCCTGGGGAAACGACCCTTCCCACTTGTACCTGGTACACCTAGTCTGGAGCACTGGAGCTATAACTCCGACAAAGCATCTGCCATTCAGTTGACCTCTGACCCTTTAGCGCCTGCCCCTGGAGAGCCGCATCCTGTAGCGGGAGGGCAACTTCCTGACTAGGACCCAATCAACGGGCCCGCAACGCAGAATACGAACAGGAGGCGGGACTCGGATCTCCGTTTCCGGTTTAGGAACAAGGTCTGGGGAAGGGGCGGCAGGCGCCATGTCCGGCCGGGAAGGTAAGTGTGTTCGGATTGCGGGGACCGCGGGGAGGTGCTGAACGGCTGGGAAGGGCCCGGTGGCAGGGACGGGCTGACCGTGCTCCTGTCGCCTACAGGTGGCAAGAAGAAGCCCCTGAAACAACCTAAGAAGCAGGCCAAGGAGATGGATGAGGTGAGAGCGGGCTCGGAGGCGCGATCGGAGCGGGCGTGCGGAGGGACTGGGAGACTTGCCTGGAGTGAAATTTGTGCTTCTCTCTAGGAAGATAAGGCTTTCAAACAGAAACAAAAAGAGGAGCAGAAGAAACTTGAGGAGCTAAAAGCAAAGGCCGCGGGGAAGGGCCCCCTGGGTAAGTGAGGACCGAGGGGCGCTCAAATCGGACACATACTTTGAGCATCTTTAGGGATGAGGGCCGAGATGTTCCCTGTATCATTGGTGAGCTGCGAGGTCTCAGTTCCTGGTGTCCGCCCCGGCGGATCGCCCTAGCCAATCTTGGATTTGAACGCAAGCCAGAACTGGAGAAGGTAAACCCTTACCAAAACCCTGTACAAATTAAGTATCCCTTATCTGAAAAGAAATCTTACCTTCCAGGCAGTCTTGGGCTTTCATTCCTAGGAAAGCTGCAGAAATTTACCCCAGGCACAAATTTATATGGTTAGGTTTATGGATATTTTTCTTACATGCTTTCTTGCCCCAAATTTGTAACTAACTGCTTATTGATTTTGTTGTGTTATGTTGTGTTTCTTTTCTTGGTACTGGGGACTGAATCCAGGGGTATTCTACCACTGAACTACATACCCAGCCTTTTAAATTTTATTTTGAGACAAGGTCTGCCTAATTTCTCATTCTTTTTTTTTTTTTTTAAGAGAGAGAATTTTTTAATATTTATTTTTTAGTTTTCGGCGGACACAACATCTTTGTTTGTATGTGGTGCTGAGGATGGAACCGGGCTGCACGCATGCCAGGCAAGCGTGCTACCTCTTGAGCCACATCCCCAGCCCATAAGTTGCTCATTCTGAACTCAAAACTTATGATCCTTCTGCCTCAACCCCTCAAGTAGCTGCTATCGGACATGAGCCACCACACCTAGTTTATTTATTCTTTGTAACACTACTCAACTAATAACTTTTACTTACTGCTCATATTATTTATGATAAATGATTCCTCATTTTGAGTTACTACTAGGTGTGCCTAGACTATAGTCCAGGTTCCTTAGAGTGCTATTGTTCCATGTGCTTTTCTAGTCTAACCCCCCACCATTTTTTCTCTTTTCCTTCTTGTGAGAGAAATGGATTACATTTTACTTGCTGTCCTAGTACTGTGTGCTAGTTGGAGGGTAATATACTGTGAATTGAGGCCAGGGGTACTTTATGGCTGAGCTACTTCCCCAATTCTTTTTATTTTGAGACTGGGTCTCAATAAATTGCTGAGGCTGGCCTTGAACTTGTGATCCTCCTGCCTGTACTTTCTGAGTCATTGGAGTTAAGGCCTGCACCACTGCAACTGGACAGGGCCTACTATAAGCTGTTTTCAGAATTACATCAGGTACCTTGCACCTTCCCTTAATTTGTGACTGTATATAGGGAGAAGGTAAGTCCTTAGCAAAACCCTGTACAGATTTGAGCATTCCTTACCTGAAAATCCAAAATGCTCCAAAATCTGAAATGTTTTCAGTGCAACTTGATGTCAGAAGTAGAAAATTCCACACCTGGCCTCATGTGGTGGCTTGGAGTCAAAATACAGATGCACTAAACATATATAAAATTACCTTCAGCTATGTATATAAGGATATGCGGAGCAAAACATTAATGGATTTTGTGTTTGTTTTGGTACTGAGAATTGAACTTACCACTAAACTATCTCTTTTTTTTTTTTTTTTCGGGGGGGGGTGTAGGATCTTGCTAAATTGCCAAGGCTAGCTTTGAACTTGCAATGCTCCTGTCTCAGCCTTTAGAATTTCTGGGATTTACAACTTGGGTCCCATCCCCAAAAATATTTTATTATGTATATGTAAATATTCAAAAATCCACTGGGCACAGTGGTGCATGCCTATAATCCCAGTAGCTCAAGAAGCTGATGCAGGAGGATCACAAGTTCAAAGCCAGCCTCAGCAACTTAGCATGACCCTGTCTCTAACTAAAATATAAAAATGGCTGAGGATGTGGCTCAGTGGTTAAGCACCCCTGGGTTTAATCCCTGATACCAAAAAAAAAAAAAAATCCAAAACACTGCCAGGTGTGGTAGCACACGCCTCTAATCCCACCAGCCAGGAGGCTGAGACAGGAAGATCTCAAGTTCAAGCACAGTCTTAGCAACTTAATGGGACCCTGTCTCAAAATAAAAAAATAGTTGGGGATGTGTCCCAGCCCCTGGGTTTAATCTCTGGTCTAGTTTTAAAAAAAAAAAAAACACTTGTGGTCCCCAATCGTTTCAGATACAGGATACTCAACCAGTACTATTTGTTTCTCGTAGAGCATCATCTGACTTTTTTTTTTCTTTTCTTTAATATTTATTTTTTTTAGTTTTAAGTGGACACAATATCTTTATTTTACATTTATGTGGTGCTGAGGATCAAACTCAGTGCCTCAAGCATACTAGGCAAGCACTCTACCACTGAGCCACAACCCCAGCCCAACATCTTTTTTTTTCTAATTAGTTACATGATAGCATAATGCATTTCATTTCATTATACACAAACGGAATCATGTAACTTTTTTAAGATTCATTTTGTCAGAATCCTTTTATATCTTCATTCTGGTATCAGGAATTAATTCTACAGTTATTGCTTAAATTACCTACAGGTTGACAAATGTATTATCATTTGTTAATTGGGTAAAATAAAATCATTGAGTAAACCAGGCCCCAGGAACATAATATGGAATGGAGTGTGGTATAATGTGGCAGTTAAGTATAGATCTAGAAATCAGACTACCCAGGTTGGAATTCTGGTTTGTCACATACCAGTTTAAAACCTTGAACAACACCAAATACAAAGACTATCTGTAAAGTGGGATGCATGGCAAGAGGATTATGAGCTAATCTGTGAAGTATATGATATTGTAGATGCAGAAAAGTACACAGCTATTGCTTGGGCCCCTGCCTTAACATCAGAATAGTTGGTATCAGTAAAGCCACTGTGCACACTTATGTGAGAGTGAATTCCCAGGGTAAGAGTTAAGCCTTACTGGAATATACATTAAGCTCATTGGGATTTTTGCCGTAAGAAATATGTTTTTCCCTAACTGTGACTTTTCCTTTTGTAGCCACAGGTGGAATTAAGAAATCTGGCAAAAAGTAAGCCGATTCTTGTGCCTGAAATGATGGTGACCGTTGATTCCATTCCTATTTAAACATCTGGATCCCCGCTGTAACATCTTTTGCCACCTATAGCTAGAATGAAGTGTTATGTTGGAGTCTGTTGTAAATTTAATAAACTTTTGTAAAATAATAATAATACACACACCTACACAGTGGCTCATTGTCTCTTTAGTTTCATTCAGGCATTCCTACCTCAGCTGTGAATTTAAAGTAGACCCATCCTAGAATCTTGCCAGAGTTTGAATTCTGTATCACCCGGAATTAAACAAGTTCATCTGAAAGGCTGTTATCATGTGATGTATATTCAGTGGAATGCCCAGGATCTCTCACATGGGCAAGTTCTCCACCACCAAAGTACATCCCCAGCCCTTTTTAATTATTTTATTCTACGTTGGCTCTTTTTAATGCTCAGGTTGGCCTCGAATTTGCCATCCAACTGCCTCAGCTCCCAAGTAGCTGAGATTACACACATGCATGGCCACACCCTACATATATATTTATTGAAACATTTGGTTAAGAGCCACCAGTTTTGATTTCCTCTCCAGGCCTTGATAGAACTTGGGAATAATGATAAGCTTTGTATTTTAAAAGGACTTTCAAATCATTGAGACTACTAAATCAGAACTATAAAAAGTTTTTTTTGTTTTGTTAACAGGGATTGAACCCAGGGACACTTACCCATTGACACATTCCCAGCCCATTTTTTTGCTTTTTCACTTGAGACAGGGTCTGGATAAATTGCTTAGGGTCTCACTGTGTTGAGGCTGGCTTTGAATTTGTGATACCCCTGCCTCAGCCTCCCAAGTTGCTGAGATTATAGGTGTATGCCATCACACCCAACTCTAGAAAAGGTTTTGGTAGACTGAAACTGTTTTATGACTACAATGAACATGATATTAATAGGGGGGAAAAAAAACACCAGTTTGGGTCCTCCAGAAAGTTGCAGTTAGCAGTACCTTCTTTGGGTTTTAGGCATTACTCATGGGGCCTTGCCAAGCCCTGTGCTGCTGTAAACAACCATTCTGAGTGCATTGCCCTAAAAAGGAAGTTACTGCTCTTTTATTTGGTCAACCTAATCCCTTCCACCAAAAGAACGATTCTGTTTCCAGGACCAGAGACATGAAGCAGTTAAGACAACCACTCAACATTTGGGCAGCTATCTGAAGGAATCTACCAGTTGCTTTAAAAGACTGAATTTTTAGGCATTCTAGGCCCTGACATCTCCCTTTTCACTTAATCTTACATGTAATGTTTTGGCAAACATTCATGGGCTACTCACTGAGCATGCAAGAATGAAAAAAGTCTTGATTGAAAAAAGTTGCCCTCCAATACCAATGCCTAATTGCTGCTAACTGTTCTGCACACCACTCCTGCTCAATAAAATCCTGGCAGGCACTCAAACCCAGCTCAAATTCGTGCTCCTTTGTGAAGCTTTACCTTCTATAAAAAGGTGTGTTTTTTTTGTTTTTGTTTTTTACCACGGATTGAAACCTGGGGCATTTATCCATTTTTGCCATAGATAACTTATTA